GGAATGGAATAACTGTAATGTCATAATCAATAAAATATATTTAAAAAAACTACATTGAAAAGAAATATGCACCACTATGTTCATTGCAGCATTATTTATAATAGCCAAGATATGGAAGCAACTTAAATGTCTTTTCGATAGATAAATGGATAAAAAAGATGTGGTACGTATACAGGGTGGGACAAAAGTAGCTGTATACTTATCTATATGGAAATTATAATAATTAATAAATAATAACACAAGAATAAACTCTTGTGTACTCACAACTGTAAACCTACTTTTGCCCCATCCTGTATACAGTGGAGTACTATTGGGCCATAAGAATGAAACCTTCCATTTGTGACAACAGGGATGGTCCTAGACTCTAGGACCCAGGGGGTATGTTAAGTGAAATCAGAAAGAGAAAAACTAGTACCATATAATTTATTTCATTTATATATGGAATCTAAAACACATAGTAAATGAACCAATTCATGGCTGCCAGAGGGGGGTGGGATCTGGGTAAAAAATAAGAAAAAATTAGTAAGTACAAACTTGCAGTTACAAAAAAGTCATGGGGATGTAAAGTACCGCACAGGGAATAGAGTCAGTGATACTGTAATTACTATGTATGGTGTTGTGGAGTACCAGACTTATCAGAGGATCACTTCATAAGTCATACGAATGTCTGTGTTACAGGAGGGGGGACCCCCAAAAACCAAGAGATTTGTAAAAAATTGTGTATTTATTCTTACATGTTTAAGATAAACTTTAGTTGCCTTCAAAGTACTCTCCATTTAATGCATACATCTATCGAGACTTTTTCCCACTGCTTAAAATAGTTTTTGAACTTGTCAATTTCTTTGCCTTTTAGTATTTCTGCCATTTTTTTTGTTTCACCTCTTCAACATTGGGAAAACATTTCCCTCTGAGGACTTTTTCATCCAGGAAAACAATCAAACAAAAAGTTGCTCCAGGTGAGATAGGGTGAATAGGGGCAACAGGGGTCACGACTTTTCTGGTAAAAAAAAAACCACTGAATACTCAGTGTGGTGTGGGCAGGTGTGCTTCTAAATCACCCATCATGAATTGGGCAAATGTTCTGCAAGAGTCTTAAAAAAAAATTTCTTTCATTGAAGCTGAACACAGCTCTCAAAACAAGACCAGCTGGTACACTGATACAGATGCCTTACTAGAACAACTCATCTAGCAGGGGAAACTGGTACTACAAGGGTCCCACCCTCCAGAAGATAATTGTTTTTTTTTTGGGGGGGGTGGGTTCCCCCCTCATATAAATGTACTATGTTATATACCAGAAACTAATGTTGTTAAGTCAACTGCAATTTAAAATTTTTTTAATTAAAAAAAGAAGATACAGATTGCCAACAGACATATCAAAGTATGTTTAACATCACTAATCACCAGGGAAATGCAAATCAAAACCAAAATGAAGTATTACTTCACATCTGTCACACTGGCTATTATCATAAAAGGTAAGCTTCTACAAGGATGTGAAGAAAAGGGAACCCTCGTGTACTCCTGGTGGGATTGTAAATTGGTGCAGCCACTAAGGAAAACAGTATGCAGTTTCCTCAAAAAATTAAAAACAGAACTACTGTACGACTCAGCAATTCCACATCTAGATACATATCTGAAGAAAACAAAAACACATGTACCTCTGTGTTCATTGCAGCATTATTTGCAATAGCCAAGATATGGAAGCAACCTATGTGTTCATCCATAGATGATTGGATAAAGAAGATGTGATAGATACATTAAAATGAAATATTACTCAGCCAAGAAAAAAGAATGAAATCAGTGTAATAGAGAAATACAAATATGATTTCATTTATATGTGGGATCTAAAAAAACCGAAATCTGATCACTATGTTGTAACCTGAAACTAAAATAATATTGTATGTCAACTTTAATTAAAAATAAAGAAAATAAAATATCCAAGTAATATAAAAATAGATCTTTAAAGGAAAAGAACAAACAGGACCATTTGTATTATAAACACAGTTGTCGAAACTCAAGAGATTTCTGTATGTGTGACTTCATTTCAGGGATACAGTTAAGAAAACGGTATGCTTCCATTAAAAATAAAAATAAGGAAACAAGAGGAAGAACAGAGCACAGTACTAATAAAACAGTTCTATACTCAGTTACCTTAAAAATGTCAAAATAACATTGCTTTGTTTGAACAAACTGGAATTTACCAACACATTTTCCCTTTTAGCCAAAAACATGTGTCATCAGATGAATGGAGTAAGAATCTAGCTCACTGCTCAAGAATTCCCATTCTGTGGTCCTGCTGCTGTTCCTACCTTCTGGTTATTCCTTAAGCCGGCACATTCCAGGCTCCTGTCCTCAGAGAGAATGTCACCTCTAGCACGCAGACATTTCTTTTGAGAAAGCACAGAGACAACTGTGGTTCCCCTCCCATGTTCACATTAATGAAGGCAGTTATGTCCTCATCTTGACCCAGGCTGTTGTAGGTTCAGAGTCATGTACCCTATTGTCTGATGAACCTTTGTTGCCACTACATATTCAAAATCCCACCTGAACTCAGGGTACAACATGGAATCCTAAATCTATACCCATCACTTACTTCTAAAACCCAAAACTTGCCACCCATCCTAAAGGAGGCTTTGGCTTCCTCTCCTTCCCTGTCCTCATCATATTGCCTTACCACAGGGGGCTCTCTAGCCCATCTCTCTCCTCTCTTTCTGTGATCACCAAACTAGTCTGGGCCTCCTCTACTCATACAGACCCATAATTGTATCTAGCCTTACCTTTCTCCAGCTTCTCTTCCTCCATTGCCATAGAAAAGACTTTTTTAAAGTGTGAATCTGATGTTATTTCCTTACTTCAAAGTCTCCAAGCTCCACAATTTTCCCTCACCCCCAAACCTACACAAGCAGCCTCTGAGATAAAGTCAAATTATTTTTTCTGAATTGCATTTAAGGCCAATTTCTCTAGTCAAACGTCTTCCCCAGACATTCAGTGTCACCCTACACTGTCACACCAAGCACACTCGCTGTCCACGTCCTTGCAGTTGGTACGAGTAATCATCAATCCCATCTCTCCCAAAACACCTCCTCAGGGTACTTCCTGTGGTGCCCCTGGAATGACTGCAATTACATGTCATCAGTGCTATTTTTAGCTCCTCACATCATTTACAAGACAACACAAGTTTTCAAAAACACACAGTCCTTTTCTATTTAACTTACACTATCAGATAGAATCATACTAAAAGTACTCAACTCCAGAAGGACTTGGTTTCTATGGCCCTCTAGAGTCAGTGCATTCGTGGCAGAAAGCCTGCTATTGGGTTGGCCAAAAAGTCCGTTAAGTGTTTTCCATATGATGGCTAGTAGTGCGTAGGCATCTTTAACTTCATTCGAAACAATTTCGTTAGATTGTACTGTGACGACTGTCGTATGAGGGTGTTTTTAAAAAATCTTATCAAAATTGGTGAATTTTTGTGTAGCCATTTTAATATTGAAGATGAAAGAAGATACACAACATTTTTGATGTATTATGCTTTATTATTTCAAGGTAAAAATGTAACTAAAAAGCAAAAAAAAAATTGTGCAGTATATGAGGAAGGCTCTGTGAACATGTCAAGAGTGGTTTACAAAGTTTCTTGGTACTACTGACATTTTGGCCAAATAATTGTTTGCTGTGTTGCTGTCTTATGCATTGGAAGTAGTTTAGTAGCACCCCTGACCTCTACCTACTAGAAGCCAATAATAGGAGATACTGACGTACTCAAAATATCCAAATCAATAGTTACTGGTGAACACCAAAAACACGTCTTTTATTTTACAGAAAAAAAAAAAATACAAACTTTTTGGCCAACCCAAAACAAACTAAACTATTCCCTTGAATGCCTTATTATTGAAATTTTTCTATATATCATGTTTTTCATGGATATCTAAACAATGAATATGTGACTTATATTAGCAGTATTATTTTTAGGTCAGATTTTAGAATTTTATGTTAACGATTTATTGACTAGCACATACAAAACCTGTGCTATACTTGTCATAATCTATAAAGGAAAATAAAAGGTTGGTATCTTCAGAGGTTATAGTCTTAGAATTTAGTTTAAAACATTAATAGCTACCATTTATTGAGCACTTACTAAATGCCAGATGCTTTTCCTACTACAAGCTTCTCAAATACCTTACAAAATAGATAATTCCATTTTACAAAAGGGGTCTGAGGCTAAGAGTTACACAATAAATGGCTGAGCTGGCATTTGAACCCAGCTCTCTCTGTGACTAAAATGCTGCAGAGTATTTTCTCTGATATACAATGACCACCAGCCCTACTCAGTCACTGGCCACCTTCTAAGCTCACCCACCACAGTCATTCCCTTCATTCACCATGCCAACCACAAAGGAGCCCTGTATCTGTGAGAACAAAGAAAAACCAAACACCAGATTTACACTCAGTACATTGCTGTTATTAAACTAAACCTAGACAAAGTCAAATTGAGAATTCTTACAATAAAATCTCTGTATGTGTGTATGTGTGTGTGTGTGTCCCTCCCTCAGAAGGAAGGCACCAAAAATTTAATGAAAAAAATCTTTTCAAATGTGCTACATTTAACACAAAAAAGTCAAAGTAAGGTTCCATGAAATAACCTAGATCTTATATATTTAGTTGTGACCCACTGACACAGGCAGCAGAAAAATGAGCCGTCATCCAGACAACTTAAGCAGAATTGGCTAAATGCATATTTTTGCTAAATCAGCAAATCGGTCAGTATGATATAATCGTTATTTCAATTCACTTATTTGTCGCATTTACTTTGACAATATAGACCATACCTTGGAGTATTTTCTGACACAGGTAGACACAAGAAGGCAATTTGGACACTAATCTAAATAGTCAAAATGGATGCTTTCAGTTCATCTATCTTGATTCAATTTCCATCAGCTACTGTATCTGTAAAGCAAGCAAAGGAGGCTCTACAGTAGTATCAGAAGAACCAGAGGTATGGTACTTACCACATCAGAGTTGAGATGAGAAGGCCAACACCCACACAATCTATCAATACGACCCAAAGGAGAAGTTTTATCATCTTAAAAAGTCCCATGTCCAACACAATGCCAAATCCTGCAGTGGACACTGAAAGATTTACAAATTTCACTCAGGAAGTTTGCAAGGTTCTGGGGATATTAAGGCACAGAGTCCCTGCCCTCCAGATGCACATGGTCCAGTGGGGGAGATGGATGTAAACAAAACTCCCAGGACATGTTCTACATGGTTAAGAATATGGAAGGGCCACTTTAATACCTCAAGTTTACCAAGAAGGCCCCTATGTGTGGCTCACCAGGGGGGCTCACCTTTTGAAACACCATTAGTACTGAAAAGACACCCATATATTTAAGATAAGTTAAAGGTGAGAAATATCTATATACTTTATCACCTTAAAGGCTTATAGGATCCTTTTGCTACACTATGGGAGACCTTACAAGTAGTCTCTCCAGTTCATATAAATACTGTACTTTAAGAATTCTTCCTCTGGATTTCTCTAATTGTGAAAAGCAATTTCCAATCTCGATATTCCTTTTCATAGTAAGTTTGCATTTGGGTATCAATGTATTTATCACAGTGGTTAAAAGACATGGAATAACTCTGTCCCTCTTTTTATGGTTCTGAGGTAACAATTTACTCTGGCATCTGCTTGGGCCCTGTAGAACCAGGGTGAATACAGATTCCTTTCCTGTGAGATTTCAGGGGGGCTTCAGAAAAGAGCTTTAAATATACCCCATTTCTGACCCACAACAGTTTATAACAAAAGAGTCTCCACATGACAAATCCAAACAAGCATTCAATTTGTTTTCAACTGTACTGAAGATCAACTAACACTTACCACACAGCCAGACACTTAATAGGACCAAGAAAGCTGGATCATCTCTGGCCCACTGATCCTTTGTCTGCTTTCGATAATGAAAGTTTCTATAAACCTTCTGTGGGGATGTGAACAGGTAGAACATCTGCCATGCAGCAAACTCAAAATCCATTTGCCGAAAACGAAAAAGCCTTCTCAAGTATTTGTAGCGCTTTGCTCCTGCTGTGTGTCTTGCTGCATCCCTGGAATTCAATGCTCCATTTCCCAGAAATGGGGAATTCACTGAAGTACTTGGTAACATCTTCCTGTGGGGGGAGGGGGGAAACTTTACTAGTAATCTGAAGAAAGTGTTGGCTATTAGCACTCCTCTTCTGAGACGCATGGGAGAGAAGTCACCTGACATTTCTCCAACCCTTGAGAAAAGTCAGAGGTCAAAACAAATGGAGTTGTTTCTGAGGCTTGGTTGGGGTTTGAGAACTGCCTATTGCAGTTCATCGAGGGTGGCACCACACCCTTCTGTACATGGTAATACTCATACAGGGGCCATACGTTTCCCATACCTCACCTCCCTCAGTCCTCAAAATAGTCCTCCCAGGTAGCAGCTACAGAGTCAGAGAGAAAGAGAGTGAGGGTGTGGGGAGCGGGTGGGGAGGGAGAGACGGAGAGAGAGGGAAAGGGTGGGAGAGAGGGAGATAAAGATTCTTAATCAAATTCTGGCTCAAAACCCCATGCTCTTAAAACACCAAGCCTTTATTAAGACAGGGTGTCAAACTCATTTTCACCCGGAGGCCACATAAGCCTCACAGCTGCCTTCAAAGGGCCAATATAATTTTAGAACTGTGTAAATGTAACTACTCCTTAACTAACAAGGAGTTGAAATTACATTTGGCCCTTTGAAGGCAACCTCAAGGCTGATGTGGCCTCCGATGAAAATGACTTTGACACCCCTGCTTTAAGAGAAACGTTTGTCTAGGCCAATTAGAAATGAAATGATGTTACCAACCAGGCAAAGTAAATGACCTAAATCACACAGGTGGTCCATCAAAGCATTGTCAGCAGGCAACCTGTTCACTGGGTGGCATTCCAAAAATAAAGCAAAACTAAATCCAGTATTTTTCCCCGTTAATAGTTCAGCTGAAGAATGTCACCGTGAGAGACCTGTTGAATCACTCTGAAGCCGGGTGAGGGCAGTCAGTCACGGTCCGGCCCCCGCGCCCTGGAAACCCAGTCTCTACCTCCACTCCCCCAAACAGACCCCGCCCAGGGTAGGGCTGCCAGATACAACAAATAAAACCGTCCATTTACTTTGGCATCTGACAAGGGAATGCTTGTTAGTATAAGTACGTCTTAAAAACTGAGTGGGGCATTCCCGTAACAAAAACTATTCTTTATTTATCTGAAATTCAACCGCAGAACAGCGTCGGACATTTGACCCCGCCGCCCCATAGAAGGCAGAGGAGCAGGCCCCGCGATAGCCATTCCAGGGCCAGAGAGACCAGGCTGCCAGTGGCCGGAGGAAACGGCACCGGGCGAGCCCAAGTTGTGCCCGCACAGTGTCCTTAAGACTCACCTGGAGCGGCCTTGCGGCCTCCACCGGCCCCAAACTAGCCCTGTACCTCGGCCTAGCAGCTTACCCGAGCAGCCACTGGGCTAATGTCCCTTCCTGCAACGTAGACAGCCACCTGATGCGACACGTGACCCGCGCCTACTTCCCCAGCGCCCGGCATCCCTAGTTATTGCTTGCGCTAGCTCGCCGGAAGTTGTTGCTGCTGCTTTCCGGTTCCTTCCGTAGTGGGTGTCGCGGGTGTACAGCCCAATCGCGGCCGTTGCCGACCCAAGTAGTCCAAGCGGCAGCCGGTGGGAGGTGCAGCCATGCCTCGATATTACGAGGACAAACCGGACGGCGGCGCTTGCGCTGGCGTGAAGGAGGACCTGGGTGAATGTCTGTTGCAGTCCGACTGTGTGCTTCAGGTAGCTCAGTCGGCCGCAGCCGACGCTGAAAAGGGGAGGCAGGCCCGGGGGTGGGGGAAGGTAGCCCTGGCCGTTTGCGGTGGCGGTGAGGACCTGTGGCTCAGAGTTGTTGGTGTTGAGTGCAGATTACAACCCCGATTTAATAGACTTGGATATAGCCACAGTTGGAGGAGTCTCAGTTCCCTCCTTTTTTAAATTGGAGATAAAGATAGCACCCCGTTGGATTTTTGTGACAAACCATTTCAGTTAAAGAAATGTTTATTGAATGCTGCCAATGAGTGCCTTTTCCGATTGTTGGGGTAATCAGTTGTGTGCAATTGGATATACAGTTTTAGAAAGTTGCTATTTCAAAGGAAACTATCCCAAAAAGGACATAAACATAAAGCTATATCAGTGTTTCTTCTGATTCATGATTTACATTTGGTTCACTGATTTTAGCAGTCAGCCAGACTGGCCTCCCAGTGTCTATAAAACTTTTCAGTTAAGAATTTAAAAGGTTATGTAGTTCAGCTTTTATTCTATGTGCAAGTGAGGAAACAGGTGCCCTGCCTTCAGACTCCCCTGGCCAGGGCTATTTCCAGACTGCCGATTCTTTGGTACAACTATTCAGCCAGTTCCCAATAAATACCTATTAAGTGGCAGGCGTGCTACCAAGCACTGGAGACACACAGGAATAGTTAGTCACTAACCTACACAAGCTTGTTCTGATGAGAAGAATGAACATGTGAGCGGCTAAATTCCTATGATGAGGGCTGGTTACGCATTTAGTAAATATTTAACATGTAAATTTAGGAGCAAAATGCCATGGGAGCCCAGTGGAGAGCACCTCGTTTTACTAGAGAATTTGGGAATTTTCTCAGAGGAGGTGTCATTTGATCTGAGTCTTAAAGGTTGAGTAGTAGTTAATAATTAAAGGAGTGGGGGCTGTGGTGATTATGGGAAGAATCTGGAAGAACAACCTGTGCAGACTCAGGAAGGTATGGGAAGGCGGGAAGAAGCTAGTGCCTGTTGAGCCTGAAGGATGGGGAGTATGACCGAAGGCTTGAGAGGAGGGTTGCTGGTCGTGAACGCCCTTGTGTGTCAAGAGGGAGTTTGGATTTTATCCTAACATTTAGCATCAAGAAGGCCACGGAGATGAGCGATTAAGGGAGTAAAGTACATAGAGTAGGACTGAAGAAAGAAACTTGGGTAATTTGTTGTAATGATTGAAATCATTGAAATATTTAGCAAACATTTTGGTGCCAACCTCTAAGTCAGGGAACATACAGATGAGTGGGACACATTCTCTCATGTGTAGAAACTGCATCTCTGGAATGTTAGAAAGTGGTAGTCAAAGAAAATGACCAGGATGCATGGCAGAGTTTGCTTTCCCCTGTTGATATGTGGCCTTACTGATGCTGAACTTGGTCACCTAGGAGAGCCTAATGTTTATAAACATCCCCTTAAAGGGAAGTGCATTTACAGTTTGTGGTAAATTCATCCTGAAAGGTGATTTCCACTGGAGTGTAAAAGGGCAGTACAGAGGCAAAACATTGGGTTTTGCAGATTCAGGACAATATCCTGTATTCTCTGGTGGGTTTGGGGAGTGGTTGCAGTGGTGGGCTGGGGTGTCAAAATTTGCTTGAGGGGAAATCTCTGAATATGCAGAGTAGGTAAAATTTGGGTTAATTTTTCCTGGTGCATGAACATACCAGATGTTTCTATTTAAGTAGTGCTCCATCTTACCTCCATTAACTTCTATCTAAAGTATTTATCACTAACACTAAAAATGTTCTAACTTTAAGGTACCTGATTTTGGCTATTTGAGCTTTTAAATTAACACTAAACAGGGTCATTTTGTCATCAAAATTGCTTGAGATAAAATTGCAAAATTATGTCTTCCCTTATATTGTCAAGGACTGCATAAGGCTGATGTTTATTAGCAGCAAAAGTTTTACTTTAATAAATATTTCCTTAGCAGTCAAATAATATTTTTATTTTCCTCATGAATTGCAGATCAGAATTTGATATCATTAAACCTCAAGTAATTCAGGAATTTCAAGGTGTTTTTCCAGGTGTTTTATGTATTTATATTTCTGGGAAATTAAACCCTTTTAACAGTGCCCTGCTCTGCCCTGTGGCAGGCACTTCCCCTGCTTTGTGATGTGCTCACACTGCCAGTTAGCCTTTGCATGTGTACACCTTCTTTCCTAACTCATATGAAAAGCCCTGTGTAGGCAGGGATATCTAGTACATATTCATTTTTTATCTTCTGATCTAGGACTGTTCTGATTTATTTATTTTTTAGTAAATTAGTTCTTATGAGGGTTTAGTTACTAGACAAATTAGTAGAGTAGGGCATTCAAAAAGAAATTTTGCCCTGGCCAGGTGGCTCAGCTAGTTGAAGCATCATCCCGTACACCAAGGAGTTAGTTGCTGGTTCGGTTCTGGTCAGGGCACATGCCTAGGTTGCCACTTCCCTGGTCAGGGTGCATATGGGAGGCAACTGATCAATTAACATTTCTCTCAAATCAATAAAAAACATGTTCTCAGGTGAGGATTTTTTTTAAGTATTCAAAAAGAAATGTTATGGCAATTAAATTCTAATTTTGCCTTTTTGAGTTGTGTAGTATACCTTCTGTAGATGCATCTGTGTGTACAATATATTTAAGTGTCTTTGTGTTAAATTTACAAGATTTTTTAAAAAATATTTTAAGATAATGCAGAGGTAGTAGTAGGGTTTTTATTCCATGATACCTTAAAAGGAAAATACCACCGAATTTTAGCTCTTACCTAGTTTTGCAGTTGTTATTTTGTCAAGTCAGATTTTTAAGTTATACCTTTTTTTTTTAAAGGCTTATTTATTAAGAGTCAGAAGCAAACATTTCTCCTGTGAACAGTCTTGTAACAGCATCCTGCTGTGATGGCCAAAAGGGAATGATGGTTTAATCCTGTTTCCTTGGTAACTTCCTTTTGAGTTTTCACTGCTTAAAGATGAGTTAATTTTACATCAGGTTCAGGCAGATTTCCTCTCACAAGAATATGTCAATTCTGCTCATATCTTCTTTTCCTCTTGCAGTTCTTACTCAGTTGAGCTTCTCAGAATAGAGAACTTGACTGTGGGGGCCAGGAGGTGGGGAAATGCAGAGATGTGTTGGAGGTAAAATACTTGCATTATAAAGATACAAGTGGAGACGTAAAGGTGCTTGATACTACCTTCCAGAACAAGCCCTCCCATTCCCCACGAGCCTGATCTCTCATATGCCTGTGTTCTCTCTCTGTCGGACACACTATCTTCTGTCTCTAGTTCACAAGTGTAAACATTTCAAGAACACGGGAGAAGCCATTACTACTTCACCTTTACTCTTCCCTTTCCCACCACAAGAAGCTGGAAATACCAGTTTTTAGATTTATATATATACATTTTAAAGAAAAATACCCCATGGAAACCAGTGTTTTCAAGAACTCAAGAGCCTCCTTAAAGTGCCCAAAATTAGTATACACATTTTTCATTCTGTCCTTTTTTTCCTTAAGCACCAATAGTCAAAATGAATTATGAACTATTTCTTACATAATTTGCCATTTTCTTCTTTTGCATTTTTTAAAAAGAACTATTTTCAGAAGCTGTTTGTTAGAAAATTTCCAGGTATTTATATTGTTTTGTGTGTCATAGGAAGGAAAATCCCCTCGGCAATGTCTGAAGGAAGGAAACTGCAAAGCTCTGAAATACTCATTTTTTGAATGTAAAAGATCAATGGTAAGAAAAGACTTTTTAAAGCTTACCCTAAAAATTAGCTGTGTAGAATTAAATATGTGAGTGCCATAACGATAAATAGGTTGCAGTGACACTGCGGAACTCCAGTGAGTCAATGTAAAGTAGCAGCATTCATGAAAACCCATAGTTGACTGTTCTGTTATTCTGCCACTACACTAAGCACAGCTGTTGACATCATGAATATTTCAAGTATGATAATGACGTCTTCGCAAGTATAATATAAAGTAGCGAGTGATTCACTGTTAGTCCTCCACGAAAGGACTGATATCACTCCTAATTCAACTTCAATTACATGTGCTTGGCAAAAACCTGAAATATCATTTAAATTGTATTGGTAATTTTACTTAATACTTCAAACAATGAATGTATAACTAAGAACGAAGGTTTCATGGGAAGTTTGAATTATATTTTCTCACAGCACTAAATATCTAGTCATCCTGCTTATGGTTCCCATGTTTAAAGATTATTTTTTGAAAATATGTAGTGATCAGACGAAGAAATGGCTGTCTCACATTTGCTGTTTTGGGCTCATTAATAGGTTTATCTCTAAAATAATTCCTTCCTGTAGAATTTCTAGGGAGTGATACTGACAACAATGCAAATTTACCTTATATACAGGACCTTCCACCCTTCTCCTTAAGAGCCCGTTCTGTGAACTTAATCACCTCATCCTTTGAATAGACAGTTTAAGGATTTTTAATCCCCCAATGGTTACTTGTTACTTACCATTTTTCAAGGCTCTTCTTTATTCAGTTGCTATTTGAATAGTAATCCAAACAAATTAGAAAGTTTGCTAGAATATACATTGAGTGTAGTTCAGAGAAAAAGATAAATGTAATTGGGATTCTACTTCAGAAGAAAATCTTTATTGTGACCTTAAATGCAAATTTTGTTTTTAACTCCATCTTTAGTATTTTGGGTTCTTTGTGTGGTTTTTTGATAGTTCTGAGAATTGCCTTTAAAAAAATTCTATTTCAGCCGGGAAAATTATGGTTGAGAGAAGGGGACCGAGAGGCAACATAATTGATATTTCTCTCACTCTTTCTCCTTCCCTTCCCTCTCTGAATGTTAAAATTCTATTTCCAGTTTCTACTATCTAGGTGTATTTTGTTCTTTTTCTAACATCGTAAGGTGAACACTTAGCTCACTTATTTTTTTGCCCTTTTTTGCATATATGCATTTATATTAAATGTCCAGAATAGATAAATATGTACAAATTGAAAGGAGATTCATGGTTGCTAGTACTGGTGACATGGGGAAGAGGGATATGGAGGAAGGAGTGGGGGTGATTGTGATGATGGTGACTATGCAAAAAAACTTGAATTGTACTTAAGATGAGTTCATTGTATTGTTGGTGGTAAAACGGCACCAGGTGTTAGGCCCATGGAGTCACACCAGACCTTAGTTCAGCATCTTGGTACTTGAGTTCTGGCTAAGAAAGAACTCAGAGCCAAGACTCAAGCTATAAGAGAAACTTGATTTAAAAAGTCACTTAAAAGTCACAAAGGTAGAAGAAGTGAGCTGTAGAGGAAGGCTCAGAAAATGAGTTACAGAGGCGGAAGGGCCCTTGGAGTTTACAAGAGAGAGCCAAGGCAAACACAGTCGGGGGAAGGAGGTGGGAAGGGTCCCACAGAGAGCAGAGACAGTTGCCTTTTTGTGCTGGAAACTGGTTTACTTGTCTCCTGTACTGATGCCCCTTACCAAAGTTGTATTTAATTAATTATGTTGTACAAAATCTGATTTAATTGTACATTTATTTTCAGTTGGATGCCAGATCAAGATTCAGAGGAAGAAAAGGATATTGATAAGTATTATGTTGAAACCAAGATGGAAACAACAAAGGATTTCCTCTGGTTGTTAAAACACAGAAACCGAGATAGGAAACATACTTTTATTTTATACCTGTTCGGTCAGACCATGGAACCCTGGAGAGAAAGGATGAGTTCTGGTTTTGAATGTGTATAAAGCAGATGATTCTCCTGCTCTAAGTTATTTTTAGAAGGAAAATTTAATTGACTAGTTACGAGTGCGGAGTATAATAAATGTGTTTTAAGAATTATTCTAAAGCACAAAGATGTTATTTACAAACTTGACTCCTTAACTGAATGACACACTTCGTACATCCTCTGTGAATATCATGAAGGCCACTGAGGGCAATGTTAAAATCAGTAACATGGAGCATGGGGAGAAAACGTCTATCGGGGAGGTTTAGTATAAAGCTTTTCTTTTATTCAGTCTGTCCTATTTAGTTCTATAATAAATTGTGCTTGATTTCTTGGAGAAGAAATGCTTCATTTGCACTGATTCACTTAGGTACGAGCCTCAGAACCTTAATATCATACGTTAGGCATAGCTGGATGCGAAGCACCAGATTCTGTTGCCAGAGCCCTTTGCCTCCACCTCTCTACCTTACAGTTTTTGCTTCCTGGCCTCACTTTCAGGCTGCCCCTCTCTTGTAATGGGAAAGAGAACAGTGTCAGCCAAAAGTCATGTCCCTAAGATCCATAATCCAAAAAGAAGAGAGAGTATCTCCTTTACCTGGGGTTACATGTCAGATTCTACAAAAGAACTACTGTCTTCCCTGGATCACCTGTCCTTGAATTATACCTGTCCCAGTGGAAAAAGGAATAGAGCCAGGCTCTCAGCCAGGCCTGGGTCTCATAATTCCCATGAGAATCACAGTGGGTGAGTGGTGGTCCTCTTCTCAAAAAGAAAGGAGGATTCAGCACAAACAGGAAAAATATATGCATTCACTATGGAAAGCAAGAGTAAAAAACATAAAATGCTTGAAAAAGTTTAGAATCACAGTAGTTTTATTCTGATCACTTACAGTACAGAGCTGAATATGAATCCAAGTTGTCAACTTTATTTTCAGTTTTGAAGAATGAAAAACCATGGCTTCTTTATAATATCCACAGGTTATTAGAGTTAAAGCAGTCAAGGTATTCCGTAGTTCGTTTCTTTTAAATGCTCACCTAAAGTTGTGAGGGTTCCACACAGCACTAGTCCTTGTTGCCCAACCCTGGAGGTCTATTGCATGTACTACTTTTCACTGAGAAAGGGAAAATGATGGTTTGTTTCAATAATACTTTTTATAAGTACGTAAGTGCTACAAGTTTTATTAAGAATAACTGATAAATCTTGCTAAAATTGTTATAGAACTCTTTTACTTTTAGTAACAACTTTATTGAGAGCTTCATTTGGAGAAATTTACATGCTATAAAATTTACCGTCGAAGTATATACAATTTATTTGTTTTGTATTTTGATTTTTTAGTCAGAGTTGTGCAACATTACCATTAATTCCAGAACATTTTCACCTCCCCAAAGAGAAACCCCATACCCTTGAGCAGTTACTCCCATTCTCTTTCCCCTAGCACCCAGCAACCATCAATATACCTTCTCTGTAGATTTGCCTTTGTAGGATTATATGTGGCCTCTTGTGACTGGCTCCTTTCACCTTCAGTGTTTTCAAGGCTCATCCATATGTAGCATCTGTCTGTACTTAATTCATTTTTTACTGCAGAATAATATTCCATAGCATAGCTAGACTGCATTTTATTTATCCATTCCTCAGTCATTTGCACCTTGGGGCTATTATGACTAATGTTATAATAGGGTATACAGCTGGTCCTGGAATGTCTATTTATTAAACATTGTTTTGTTATAACATTGATGTGATGCTGTAGAAGCTTAACTCTTGTTTATATCAATTAGCCTATGGTAAAAATTGGTTTCATTATAGGCTGTTTTGCTTAAAGTCCAGAACCTATCAGTAACATTCAGTGAGAATTTACTGTATACCTAAGAGTGGTATTACTGGGTTATTTAATTCAACATTTTGATGAGCTGCCACACTTTTCCACCATGGCTACACCAGCAATGAATTAAGATTTCAGTTTGTCCACATCATTGCCAGCGGTTGTTATTTTTCATCTATTCGATATATTCTAGGTTTGAAGTGCTATCTGGTATCTAGTTGGGATTTTGATTGGCATTTCCCTAAGGGTTAATGATGTTGAGCATGTTTTCAGGTGCTTACTGGCCACTTTTATATCTTTGGAGAAGTGTCTGCTCAAGTCCTTTATCAATTTTTCAACTGAGTTATCTTTTTATTATTGAGTTGTAAGAATTCTGCATATGTTGTGTATACAAGTTCCTTAAACACAAATCACTGGTAAATGTTTCCTCCCAATTTGTGATTTGTCTTCACTTTCTTTATGCTGTCTTTTGAAGCAAATTTTAATGTTGATGAATTCAGCTTATCTGTTTTTATTTTGTTTATCTAAGAAAACCACTGCTTAACCCAAGTTGATGGACATTTATTCCTATGTTTTCATGTAAGAGTTTTATAGTTTTAGTTTATGTGTAGCTCTATAATCCATTTAAAAAATAATTTCTGATAACTTGCATTAGTAACTGTATATTAGTGGTAGAATACACATAATGTAAAATTCATCATCTTTACCATTTTTAAGTATATAATTTAACAGTGCTAAGTATATTCACCTTGATATGCAGCCGATCTCTGGAACATTTTTCATCTTACGAAACTGAAACTTCATACCCATTAAATATCCCCTCATCACCCTGTCCCTCCAACCCCTGGCAGCCTCTGTCTACTGATGGTGAGCATCATTTCATGTTGTTGTTGGGCGTTTGTAAGCCTTCTTTGAAGAAATGTCTACTCAGGTTCTTTGCCCATTTTTAAGTAGGGTTGTGTGCTACTTTATCTGTTTTTACTTTTGTTGCTTATGCTTTGGGTGTCATATCCAGAAAATCATTGCACAGTCTAATAAAGTTCTTCCATTTTATTCTAGGAGTTGGACGTTTTAGTTCTTAGGTTAAGGTCTTTCATCTAGTTTGAGTTGACTTTGTATATTGTGTAAGGTGAGGTCTAATTTCATCCTTTTGTATACTGATAATCCAGTTTTCCCAGCATCTTTGGTAAAAAGACCATCCTTTCCTCTTTGAATGGTGTCGGCACCCTTGTTGAGGATCATTTGTCTATACGTATGCCAGGACTTATTTCTGGGTAATCTGTTCTGTTTCACTGATCTATATATCTGTCTTTATGCCATGCCACACAGTTTTGGTCACTGTAGCTTTGTAATAAGTTTTGAAATCAAGAAATGTGAGACCTCCAGCTTTGTTAGTTTTTGAGATCGTTTTTGCTATTCAGAATACATTGAGATTCCATATGAATTTTAGGATGGATTGAATCTGTTTATCACTTTGAGGAATATTGGCATCTTAATAGTATGAAGTCTTCCAGTCCATTTACATGAGAAGTCTTTCCACCTGTTGATATTTTCTTTAATTTCTTTCAGCAACATCTTGTAATATTTCAGTGTACAAGACTCTTGATTCCTAAATAGGTTAGCTTTATTCCTAAGTATCTCATTCTTTTTTTATGCAACTGAAAATGGAATTGTTTTCTTCATTTTTTTAAGTTATTTGGATGATGGGTTAACTTTTTATAATTATATTGTGAAATACAGTAGACATACAGAAAAACACATAGGATGTTTGTATAATGTTAACTGATAACTATAAATCTGCACGTTACTACCATCTAGGTCAACAGAATATTAAATAACCCCTTGTAATGCCTGACTTTTCTCAGAGGCCCTTCTGCTCACCTCTGAGAGAAAACCACTCTTCTGGTATTTGCCACACTCTTAAGTTTTCCTTCTCCCTTGAGTGTGTTGCATTTGGCTCCTTGAGATGTGTTAGAGTACTATATCCTCCCTTATCTATGGGGAATAATATTTCAAGACCCCCAATGGATGCCTGAAACTGCATAGTACTGAACCCTGTATATACTATGTTTTTTTCCTATACATACATACCTTTGATAACGTTTCATTTATAAAGCAGGCAAAGTAAGAGATTCATAGTAACAAAAATGGGATAATTATAACAATAAACTGTAATAAAAGTTATGTGGTCTCTCAAAATCTAACTGTACTCTGTACTCACCCTACTTGCGGTGATATGTTGATTGTAGGTAACTGAACCATGGAAAATGAAACCTTGCATGGGGCTGGGGGTACTACTAGAACAGATTATAGCACCAGACCAGAGAAAAGGAACATGGTCTAGTACAGGAATAGGGAAGATTTTAACTGAACTCCAGGGTGGAAGGTGCGGTCATTTATCAGGAAGACTTGGCCTGCATGGAGGAGGGGATGCAGGAGTTTGGTGTTGACATGCTGTGTTAAAGACACTCAAGTAGAATGACTAGGATGCCGTTGGATGTGTAGATGGATCTGGATCTAGAGAGTCTTGGTGGACCTAGAAATTTGGGAGTCGTTGGCAAATAAGTGGTAATTTATCCCATAGGAATAGTTAACACTTCAGGAAGAGCGTCGAAGTGAGAAGAAAGTTATGGATGAGACCTGAACACAATGTTAGTGATGAGTGAAGGACAGCAAGAAAATCAGAGTGAGGGGGAGTGGTAAGAGGTAGGACTACCAGTAGAGTGAAGCCACAGAAGCCAAAGGAGGGCAAGTACAAGGAGGAGGAAGTGATGAAGTGCTCTGTGTTTCTATATCCATCTCTAGTGAAGATATCTTCCTCCTTACAGTGCAAACAAAGCAAGCTTCCTATCCTCCCTAACCTGTCTCAGCTTTTTAAGTTTTTTCCTTTCTGTATGTTAAATGGTACAACAGAGAGAGAGCATCTTAAGGTCTGCACGGTCTGCATTTGAATGCAGACCTGCCTGGACCTGCCAGAAAGGTCCACCAGGAGCCTGGTGCAGGAAGGAATCGAAGATAGTGCTGAGGCACAAAAGGGGCTTGAGGGGGGATTTGAAGTGTGACTATTCTGATCTTACACTTTTGGGATTCTATGCCACAGCTCAGGTAGTGACAGCTGTAATGAGAGTAAGACAGAGTTATTACCCATTGCCAAATCTCAGCACAGAATGGATAGGGGTGGCACAGCACTGTGCCCATTTCATGGACAAAGACAGGTGCTCCAACTGTCATCTTCAGTGGTGAAGCCAGGACTTGTTTTCCAAACAAGCTTCAAAAAAAAGACAGGTATACTTGGCTACATACCCCTACCATAAACAAAACCAAAACACAACTCACAAATAGCTTTTAAAGTAGAGCAATATGATAGATTAATATATTGTATATTTTAAAAACAAAAAAGACCCCCACTCTAATGAAGTCACAAGAATAGAAATACAAGTATAAAAGATGTTCAGTTTTCACAGTAATCAGAGATAGGGAAATTGGAACAAGGTGCCACTTGAAACATCAGTAAGAATAAAGGGAGATGGTAAGCTTATCTCTCTGGGGATACAGGCAAACCTCGTTTTATTGGGCTTTGTGGATACTGAGTTTTTACAAATGGAAGGCAAGAACCTCTACCAGCAAAAAGGTAACTCACTGAAGTCCCCGATGATGGTTAACGGTTTTGGCAGTAATTTTTAATTGAGGTATGTATGTACAGTGTTTGTTTTAGACATAATGCTATTTATTGCACATGCAATAGACTACAGTATAGTATAAACTATACTGTACTGGGTAGTTAATAGTTTATAGTATAAACTATACTGTATTTCTGTGTACTGGGAAACTAAGGTTCAAGTGACTGACTTTATTGTGACAATCACTTTATTGTGGTGGTCTGGAACCAAACCCACAATATCTCTGAGGTATATGCCTGTATGAAAAATTTAAAAATTTAAAAACATTTACACTACTGCCAGTAATTTATCCAAGGGAAGTCACGGGCACATGTGCCTAGAAAAAGGTGCAACATGTAGTCCTGGTTATAACAAACCATTAATGAAACATTTTATCAAGTCACACTGCAGATGACCAGGCAACTCACAGCAAAGATGTGACCCATATTAATGGACATGGGACAGTGACAACCATATCTAACATAAACTTAATGCCGAGGCACCTCAAAATGGCCTTGTGAAGAAGGTACCATCATGTCTGTACTTTGCACATGAGGAAGCAGAGCCCCAAAGAAAACAAAATAATTTGCTTAGAATCACCAGCCAAGGAGTGACAACAGGATTGGGACCTGCGTCTGTCTGAAGTAGACATCCATACTCAATCCCACATCGCAATGCCCCTTCATTTCTTATTGAGTGAAAAAAGGTCATAAAACAAGTCTCTTATGGTCCCATGTTTACAAACAGCCAGGTGTTCAATGCAATGCCCATTAATAATCATCCAGTCAGATGCCAGCCAGAGAACTAGTCCTTCTAATGCAACAGAATGAATCAGGCAAGACCAAGTTTAATGTTCTTGTCAGTTATTTATTTATCATTCTAAAGACAGCACATTTACAGCATACATGGCTTTGAATGAGCTAAGAATATATAAAATGGTAACTACATGTTTATATATATATTAATACTGTCTAAAACAAATAAATAAAAGTACTTTAGTGCACTAAGCTTGGTAAATACAGCCGTGTAGAGACACACAGTATTATACAATATTTGTATATTTTAAAGGGAACGGAAGGCATCTGCGCCACAGGTGCTTTGACAGAACCCACAGCACATCCTGAGTTTTCGTTCAGTCTCCACATTTCTCATTCAGTGGGGACCTTACAAGGAACACTGGATGGAACCTCTTATTTCATGACATCCTGCAAGACTGCCTTCCTTGTACAACTGAAAACTCAAAAGCTTCTACGTGTCCCGAGGGGCTGCTGGCCACCGTGACAATGTGCCTTGCTCAGCAAGCACGGTAAGTGTGTGAGGCCCTTTGAGACTTGTCATGGGAGCCCAGCAGCAGTGCTCAGACAGAATATAGGAACCTGAATATTTTCTACGGGATTAGCCAAGTCAGGGTTTCGTGGTTGTCCATAACATGAAGACAAAATTGGAAAAATAATTCACAATGAGGTGCCACACGTGAAACTGTGACAACTGACTCAACATTTGCTATATTCCCTTCTGATAAACACAGGTATTTAATGCTCTTCAGACCCCCCCCCAAAAAAAAATTCTGAAAGTATGGGTGACATTTAATTTAAAAAGACAAGGGAATATTTTTAAAGGTAGTGATACTAAAATAAGAAGATGGAAATGTGAAAGATACTCAAAAAATTACAAATTAAACAAAGTGGACAGGTAAAAGGCTAACCAGCCATACTGGGAACTGAACAGGGATCGGCAGGAGAGAACCTGGCACCAGCTGCTGCCACCCCTGCAGTGGGTTTGGTGGACGTGGGTTTCTCTGGCACCAGCCTCCAGTGAATCCAGCTTCAAGAGAGACGGTGAGCTTCAACTGTCCCTCACTGAGGCGTCTTCCGCACCAGTGCACACTCGACCAGTGGAAACTTCCCTTCCACAGGCAATCAGAACACAGCAGGCTGTCTGTGCACTGACTTCCAAGTAGGAGGGATCTGGAAGGTCATCCAGTTCCACCTTTACCGGTGGCTCACCCAGTATGTCCCTGCCACAGGTGGTCCTTCCTGGCTGTGCCTCAGCTCCCCAGGCTATTACATTTCCAAGTGGCATTTCTAAAGGAGCCCAAAGAGTAATACCCAGAATTGTAGGCACAGGAATTTCCTAAGGGTGCACCAATCATTAGGATTAGTATCCTGAATGTGCCAAATATATTCCTTTTACAGCCTTCTGAATAACAATCATTATAATAAACAGTTGATAAAACATATACACTAAGAAAAAAACTCTGCTATGTACAGATAAGATTCATCATCTTATAATAGATGACCAGACATCATTTTCTATGAAATTCCTAAGTTTTATGGCCCATTAATCCCTTTCAACAATCTCACTTTAGGAGCTAATTTCAACTTTCTCAATAGTCACCTTACATAACAGAATGAGAAAAGGATAGTAACAATTATTGCAAACCTAAAAGACACTTTAATCAGTCAAATATTGTATTGTCTTTCAGAAGACAATAAATAGGTAAACCTACTAAGGACATCTGACCTGAAAAGATTCAGGCTTCCACCATCTACACACACAAATCTCCACTGCTGTGAGAGGCATCGCCATACCCAGGTGAGGTCCTGGGGTGCTGTAACTCAGCATCCATGCGAGAGGGGGACATGCACCCTGGGTCACTAGACATGGAGATAAGAGAACAGGAGACAGCTGGCTTCCCATTCTCAAGCAGATGCCCTGTTCTGTAACATAAGGGATAGAAGAGGTCCCCAATGTGTGAGTAGCTTTGGAAGTGTTATCTTCTAGTAAAGTCTTATCCCAGGCCTTTTCTCAACCTCTACTTCAACTCTTGGCTCCACCTGTGCTGCCACAGACATGATTCATTAGAGCCACCTGCTCTCACTACACGAGCCAGAGCTGGATTCTTTCCCCAAATCTTGAATTAGCATGGAACATTTTCTGGTCTGTCCGGGATCCAACTGTTTACTGTTTTACACTCAGATTTTTAAAAAGTAGATTGTACTTCGATGCTCAATTCTGAGTTACTTGGTAGAAAAATAGTGAGCAGATGCCTAAGTGGACATTTAAAAAGTCTTTTAGCATTTCAGACCTACCTAGCTTGATTCCTGGAGGCGACTGCCAGTGACGCCTCTGTGGTCCTGGCTGCAGGCTGTTTAACGGAGCAGTCATTACTACCCACGCTACTGAGCCAAACATTACCTCCTACCGGTTCCAACGGAATAAAAAACATGCTCCATAGACTCTTTAGTGAAATATTTTAAAACACAAAAGTAAAAATCAATCCTTCAGGTCTTCGTGAAGAATTCATATATGACACTAGAGGGTACCCACATTTGTTATATAACAGCTAATTAGAGGACACCGTGTATTCAAGTTTCAACCTTGCCGTAAGTCCCTTCAGGAGGCCTGTAATGCTTGGGGAAAGCCTTCAGCTGCAGGGAATTAAACGCATATTTGCGACTTCCAACATTCTTCATTGTATTTTCTCTTCGACAACCCTCACTGGGGAAAAAACAAGCACAAGAAATGACAGCAGTAAAAAAGGAAAAAAAAGAAAAGACTTAAACTAAGATGGAATGAACTGATTATTTTTATAGCATTAAAAAAAAGGTTAATTTAAATGGGTGCCAGACTATTTTCAACAATACGCACATAAGATGGTGGGTTTCTGAGCAAGGCAATTAACAAGCACAGCGATGAACAGGTGTATGGGATTGCGTGTTTTGCATTTGCGAAAGCAGCACTGTATCTAAATGAAAGCAAACTTTTTTAAAAAGCTGATGGTTTCATGTATTTCATTTCTAGATATTTCAGGATTCTATCCTAACTAGTGGTACAAAGATTCTGTTACATAGCAAATTAAATGGGAAACAAGGCAGTGCAACTCGTACCAAAGCCTTTAAAGAACTGCATCTTTCTATGTTAGCCACAGCTATTAATCACCTCAGATTCAAAATGCTGGTTTTCCTTGTAGAATTCAACATGTAGCAAAGCCATGTGGCTGAGAAGGCTGTGCTAATGGGCTGTCTCTTAAGTGGGTGAAAAACAATCCTGTGGTCCCAGGTGATGTTACATGGTGGGTCTGCATGGCTATCAGGGCTGAGGTGTCCTGAAGGAGTGACCCCACTGAGGTCCCCTCGTGGCAACCAGCCACTCTCTCCAGGTGAACTGCCCTCACTGTGGTCACCTTTCAGAAGAGTGCTGCCAAGCCAGTGAGAGCCAGCAGGTTCCCCTCCCTAGAGAACCCACGACCAGCACCGTCCCCGCTGTATTTGATGGGGGGCTGTCTTAGCATCCCACTGTGCAAAGCAAGCGCAGAGCAGGAGGATGAGGGGCAGGCAGGCCTCACGTTCCCAAATGAGAGCGTCAGGGGAGTTCTCTGGAAAGCGTTCTGGTGTAGACATCAAATTAACAGGCAAAAGCAACTCAATACAAATGACTTCCTATATTCTAATTGTATTTTTGTATTTTCTGAGACTACCAATGAGATCAACTAGTTATCTAATTTAGTACAAAAACCCTTTATGAGATGTAAAATTTAGAGTTACCAAGAAACAGTGATTTAAAAAATATTTACAGTTGTATGAACACCCTTATGTCACGCATTTTTTAAAAATATCGGTGGCAAGTGCTCAATGAGCTTTTTAAAGTGAAAATGACATTCTCATTTTCAAGAACATGTAAAATATTTTGGGAAAAACAGTAACTTTATTCAAGAGATAAACATGGGTGTTTCAGAAAAGTATTCACCTGCTTGTTATTAAGTAACTTAGTAACTCAAACATGCTTCCTTGTCATCAGAGCCTTAAGCCCTCAGCAAAATAGTGTGTCATCGGAGCTGAACACCTAGGCCGTAGGGGAGGGGGCCTCCAGAGTAAACAATTATCATGTTTGTCTAACATCAGATAATCTGATAAAAATACAATTCCAATGAAAGCAGAAGCTCTAGGTTCTATGTACAGTCTCATTTAATCTTTGGAAACTCACATTATCAGACTATTTCTGATAGGGCTTCTCCATGTATATAGAAATGTACATTTTCAAAAACCACCTACCATGAATAAATGCCTAACTCCTTTGAGGAGTGAAGAATAATTTAGGAACTTTGACACTACCTTTTATTTACATGTTAAAGAAGGTAATTACTGATTTAACTGGCTGAATACGTTATACAATAATTTCTTTTTTGAAACGTCCATTTTTTTAATGAAAAATTAGAATGGAGACCCAAACAACAACTCACTTTAGGGATACTTCTGGCATCCCTGTCTGGCGGGTTCTTCTGCTTTAGGACCCGTCTGGATGCACAGGTGTCTTAGTGACCCTGAATGTCTAGAGTGACCAGTTCTCAGCATTAGCATCAGCTTAGAAGCCACCTGAAAATCATCGCCAAATCTCTGGGACTCCCCTTTCTTGAGCCATCTTCCCCTCTTTGTTTCATCTTGCCTATTTCTCTCACTAAAGCACAAAAGATTCCAGATATACATGTAGCTTGATTTAGAGTAAAAGGCCTTAGTGAGATTAAAATTCAGCACAATGGGTGGGCGTACTGAGTCTCTTTTCTCAAATATTCTACCAACAAAGAAAAGAAAACAAAACAAAAACCAACAGCCCACAGCACTAGGCTGATGGTGTCCTCCATGGTGCTGGCCTTATGATTGCAGAGTTAGAATGTGCTGGCTTTTGACACAGCCCCTGAAGAGAAAAACAAAGAACCATATCTTCTCTCTCATCCATCTCATATCCTCTCAACCTAGTGCCAATCCTACGTGCAGCAGGAAGGCCTGGCTTCGCCACGACAGCCAAGGAGCGGCTGTGGTGCCCATGCCCGTGACCCCAAGCAGGGGCTTCCCCAGCTGGCCTGGCCTTCCTTTGCTGTGTGAGCCTCTGATGAGTCCCAGGTGTACACATGGCCCAGGGAAGAGGGGGCAGGCTGTCTGGAGTCACCTGGGCATGGCTGCTGCCCGGCCTGGAGGTGAGCACCAACACACGTCACTCCTGCGGGGCACCAGGGCGCTGCGAGTGGGAACTGAGCATGTCTGTGGACTCTACTTTCCCTCCTTCAATAAAGTAAACAAGAGTCTTAGTTGATGTGTGCACCACGATCTAGAGGAGAACAAGTGGTCAACGCACTTCTCCTGGAATCACAACTGACAGGACCTCTCCTAGTAACCAGTGTCACGTTCTACAATCTACTGCCACTAGTCCCTGGTATTCGCAGAGCGACTCCGTACTGAAGGATGTCAGGAGCTGTGCCACAGAACAGCCACCTCATTTATTCTAGAAAAGACAGTGCAACCAACACTGCGCCTGTGAGAAGACTGGACTCTCCCCAGTGCGGCTCCTGCAGTGCTCTGCTGGGTCCAGGAAGGAGGGATGCCCAGGTGTGTAAGGAGGACTAGCTTCCATGTTAGCATTTGAAGCCTGAGTCTGGCACTCATCACTCACTGCCAACTGCTTCTGTGATTCCTTAAACCCAGACTCAGATATGACGCCATGCCAGAGAAATCCCAGAGAAAGTTCTGGAAGTCTTGGGGAGGGAATGTAAAGGCAAGTTTCTGTGGTGGACTGAGTTTGTGTGCATGCATGGATGCAAAGTTTTTGAAAACACTAGCTTTTCTAAATTCACCCCAATTTTTCTTGACTGGTAAAAAATATTTCATGAAATACAGTATATGAGGAACCAGCTGGAGGTCAAAAAGAGTTCACAATACAATTCAAACTGAAAGAGAAGCCACCAAGTATTATACAAGATCTCTGCAATTTTCCCCCTAATTCATTCTGTTACCTTTATAGGTGTATGACTACCCTTCTGGCAAATGTGAATGTTAAGGTTATAAATCATCCCACTTTGTGGACAGTGCCTTGTTAAAATGAAGAGTGATAAGAGCAGAAACCAAAGTGACTCTGTGCCTTTCACAGCTCCATCTAGCACAAGTGCCCAGAAGGCAAGCCTCATTTCTTGGTCACTTTTCTTTGACTTTTTTTTTTCATTATTAACTACATTTGATTTGTAGAGATAAAAGATGTCTGGACTTTAATCCAAATTTAAAGATGCGATCTTTAAAATGAAAAATGCTATTTCAAGGAAAATAAATGTATATAACTTTAACAGCCTTCTGTTAATATATGTATTAATTCCTGTGATCAGTTTAATGATCCTTAAAGATTTACAAGAGTAAATCTGAGGTCACATGCAGTATGTTCTCTGATGTGCCTGTTGGTACAATGCGCTATTGTGTCCATAGATTTGTGTCACCTTGAGATGGAAATAATAAATGTGAGCAAGGAAACGTTATGATTCTGCAAACTGTTTGCTACTGTAGTTTAAGGAACTGCGCTTTGAAATGAAAGCAGAAAGTCAGTGTCCTAATAAATAGGCTTATACAGATGAGCCAGTTATAAAGCATCTATCATTTTCTTATCATTTCTCTTCAAAAGGAAAGGTTAGCAGTACATTTAAAGAATAGTATCAAATATACAAATTCTTTCAGACAGAATGCCTTTCTCTTGGAAACAGGGCACATGTGATATACAGGTAATAAATAGCTTTACATCAGAAAATAAGAGATTTGGTACAAGTAATTCCAGACCAGCTAACAGTGCAGTCACAGGGCACTGTAAGAACGTGTTACAAGCACTGAAAACTACAGAGTTTAAACGAGCAAGTCCTCTTGGTGAAATAATTTGGCAGGTATTTATAGTTCAGAACAACAAAACGCCAAACTATAAGGCATGAAATATTTCTTGGCAACCACACTTTGACACATTCCTTCTGTCCAGTTACATATATCCTGGCACTTTTGTTTTCTTGTGACTTATGAATTTTTCATAATGATGCTCATTTGCAACGCAATTTGGTCACCAGGTATGCTATGCTCAGAAAGAGCCACACAATCAGTAAATTGGGGCTCAGAGCTAATAAAGGGATGGAACAGAGGAGGCTGGGATCTAGTCTTAAGTCTCGGATGGGCACCAGGCCGCTCAGGTTCTTCTGGGTGACTACCTCCCGTGTTCCAATGCTGTGAAAAGGAAAAAATTTGGGAGAAAGGAAAAGAAAAAGGGAAAGGAAATAAAGAAAAAAAGAGAGACACATGCAATGGATTTTATCAAAATCATGGGAAAAAAGAGGAGAACCAAAAGATAAAGTTAAAAAAAAAAGGAATGAAGCCACAACAGAAAGAAAAGATGAGATGAGGAAGAGGGTGTGAAAGGAATACCAGAACAAAACCAGCACAGTTACAAGAAAAAAGAAGAGAAAGAGAAGTGAAAATAAGAAAAAAATACTGTACTCTACTGAAAACACACATACAGGCCGACAAGATGGTTGTCCATGTTCACGCTCTCAGCTGCCTGGCGCGCGTCATGCCGCCCCGCCATGCGCTCACATGCTGCGAAGACATGGATCCCAAAGAGCAAGCTGAACATGAAGAACCATTGGGCAGTTTGACCTTCTGACAGGTGCCTGAGCAGGGGGTGGGGCAACCGAGCTTGCCAAAGCTGCCTCATGATGAACTGTTTAAACAAATACTATTCACCTCAAGTGTCAACCCAAGGCAGAGCCCTCACCAGGCTCACCTTGGCTTTCAGACTCAACAGTGGCAGGACATGAGCTACTGGTGGCTCTAGCTTTTCAAGTTATTATCCCCAGGAATGGCATCCAACCCAGCTCCACTGGGAGCTTTGAGTTTTCCCTCCCTTTGGTGCTCCGGATAAAATGTCTTGAGGTGAGATGGCAGCCGGAACATAGGATTCTGGAACCACATGCTCCACGCATAGTCATCAAGGCGCCAACAGTGACACAGAGGCACCAGGACCCACTGGGAGAGGGACAGGCCAGAGGTCTTCCCAGGGCTTCGCAGAGGAAGCGGAAGCCTTGGACTTGCCCTGCTAGGACTCTGAGGGGGACACTCTCTGTGCTGCGTGCACTGGCTGACTGTCACGTCCCCGGGCGGTCCCTAGGTAGACCCACTCTGTGGTGTTTCAGCCACTGGGCTGGAGAAGAGGGGCTACCGGTGGTGAACTGGAATCAGCTCAGGTAGCTCAGAAGAGCCATGTGTACACATCTCCTCCCAGTCCATGTCCCACAGTGTCCTACTGGTAGCTCTAAGGAGGCCCCAGTGGGAGTATTTTTGCCACAGAAATTGGCAAATGCTACCGATCAGGGGTTTAGGGTATTTTTTTATTGGCGAGAGAGCTGGTTGTTCAACATTTGCTAGCACAGCACTGCCACTGCTTACCCTGGGCCTCCAGGAGACAACTGGCCTGGGCATCAGCTTTGGTCCTTATACCCACTCCTCCCGGCCTGGCACCCTGGCCTGCATGCTGTACCCTCCCCAGGTCAGATACAAGTGAGAAAGCAAGAGAACCAAAATGCACTCCTTCACTTGAGGGCACAACCACTACCTACGGCTGCCTCCTTAGGGCTTGGGACCCCACCCCTCGGGCTTGTAGATGATGAGCAAACCTGTCTTTCCCACACAAGATAATCCAGAAAACACAGAAGTCAGGCATGACAACGTCACCTTAAAGCAAATGCATATGGCTGGAGCCTGAAAGGCTACAAGGTCGGGGGACAAGGTGGCAATCGGGATAGCACCCTGGGCTGGTGCTGTGAGGATTCTGGGGGCAGGCAGAGGTGAAATGGGATCAAGCCTTGTTTTTAATAACTTCTTAGATACAGTTATTATAGGAATACATGTTCACTATAGAGATCTAGAAAATTTAGAAAAACATAAATATTGAAACCTTAAAAAGATAAAATCATTGGAGGTGAGTGGGTGGAGATTTCAGAGAGGGAGCAGAGGCCCAGGGAGCAGTGCCTGTTCCCGTGGGGGGAGGGCTCCCCGCCCAGCACCCGGTCCTCCTGGGAGGTGAGGAAACATCGCTGCTGTAAGAGCTGGGGAGTGCTCAGAACAGTGACAGCAACGAAGCACCCAGACGGCGGATGAGCAGACAGCCGCTGGGACACCAGGAGGGCACGTGACTGGGATGGCAACAGCCTGTCGATCTCATTTAAAAGCCTCACGAAGATGTCCACTCTTTAACCTAAGAACTCACTGGGGAAAGTGTGGCCAGGAGAACACGTAAGGATACTCACTGGGCCACTTAATGTGCCCAAAACCATAACAGCTTAAACAGTCAATGACCAACTGGATACATTATGCTGTGCTAAAAATGATAAGGTCTATGTTTATTAACCTGAAAAACGCTCATGAGACAGTTAAATGAAAAAGCGGCCTAAAACCAGTGGGCAGAACCGCACGTGTCTGTGCTTGCATGTGTTTGCTTTTGTTTCATTCGGGGACTGGGTATGCAATGTGTGGGCTAACCGCACTCACAGCCGTGTGTGCGCCTGTGCATGTGTGTCTGAGAGAGCACCTATCAAGTGTTAGCACTGTTACCTGTTAACAGAAATATGGGGAACTTTCTGTGGTGTGCATTTGTAAAAACATCCTGCATTTTCTAATTTTCCTATAAGGAGTATCAATTAATTCTGTAATAAAAAGTAAAAAGTGCTTCGTATGTGTGAACTGTAATGCCAACCTGAGTGCGTGTGGGCACGGCACTGTCACCCCAGGCAGCTGCCTGCAGCTGGTGGGGCGGCCACAGCTGAGGAGCCACTTCCTCCCAGGTCTCCTGAGCCCTTTGTGCTCAGACACCATCAGGACCAACTCTTGTTGTCACTGAATTTGTTCCAGAAGCCAAGACTGGACAGAGGTCTACATACCACCTGTACACGTGGCTCAGGGCCTGGTCTCCTGAATGGTGGGTGTCACATGCCACTGAGTCAGTCCCAGCTCCTGGCGACCCCGTGAATGACTGATGTCCACAGTGTCCCGTCCTCAACAGCCCTGCTCAGCCCCTGTAAACTCAAGCCTACGGCTGTTTAGGGAGTAGACCCCTCCCGTACTGGGTTTCGTCTTTTCCTGCTGCCTTCTACTTCCCCAGCATTACTGCCTTTCCCAAAGAACCCCGTGTTCTCCTGTGTCTGAAGTGGGAAAACTGCGGCTTTGTCATTTTTGCCTCCAGCGATGTTTTAGGCTTCCTGCGCCCTCCTGAGTGGACCTGGTCCTAGTGTTTGCTCCAACAACCAGAGATGTCCCCACTCCGGGTCCCTTGTTTCTTTCCTGGCTGAGGTCTGCATGTCACCATAGCAGTGCCTCCCACCCCCTCTCAGGTAACGACAGCACACAGCGTGGCTGAAAGCCCCATCCTGCCACTCCAAAGGCACCAGAGACACTGAGCCCGAAGGGCATGAACTCCATGGGGACAGGTCCTCAGTCAAGGGCACTCCAGGCAGGGGCCTCTATGCCCCCACTGCTTTCCCAAGGCTAAGGCAGGGAGAGTGGTGAGCTTTCTGAAAGTGTGTTCTCAGAAAACGGAGAGGTTTAGCTGAACTGGGGCAAAACAGAGACGGAACAAGTTTAGTTTTACAAAATGCTATGTTAGTAAGAGGCAAGAGCTCAGGCCTGGCATTTGTGCATCACTGTGAGAAGGTCAAACGGCAGAAACATACAGAAAGGATAAGAGAGTCGAACGCTTTAAAGAATCTGGTGAGAGGACAAATGACAGGACATTCAGTAGGAGTGACTTGCAAATGAGACTGTGACAGCATTGGTGACTACAGTGAAGGAGACAGGAAAACCAGGTTTCTTATCCTTTCTTTTGGTATGTGCGGCAGGGTGCGCCCCGGCAGTGCTCGAAACAAGGCATCAGTCAACAGGAGGCACTTTTGAGTCCTGGGTTTCATTCTGCAAACACGCCTGCTGTCTCGGAATCAGAATATTGTTAGGGTGAGGTCGCCACGGCCCACAGACAGGCGGGCGGTGGCTGCCATCGCCACAGAACACTCATCTGACACTTTGCTCATAAAAGCAAACTGTGTTGACTGCTAGGGAAGAAGCAGAGCAGACCAGTGCAACCCGCAGACACGCTTTTGTCACTCAGAGACGTACAAATAATGTAAACAGCAGACGCATGCTGAGACAGCTCTGGCCGTAAGTCACACCCACAGCAAGGCTGGTGGCTGGGGGAATGCCACGTGACACATGGTTTTCACGAGGTGCTCCCTGTATCACTCCTGACACCTGACTGGGCCCTGTCTATCTGCTTCCCTGCAGTTCTGCTCCAGAGACTGCTAGCTCTTTATCTACCCCTTGACTTAAAAAGAGAACACTGTCTCAGTTCGATAGTGCCAGTAGTTTGACTTTGTAGACACTAGCAAAATTTCCAAAGTCAAACCAGAGCATGACACTGGAGTCAAGGGGCCTTGTGCCGGGGAGCCTGGGGAGGTGGCAGCAGGGGGCGGGGGGGCGGGCACGGACTCACCTGCGCATGCACTCCAGGGCCTGGGTGAAGACCTGCGGGGCCATGCCATGCTCGTGCTGCAGGATCAGGCACTGTTCCAGCGTCACCGACATGGCCGTGCGGTCCTTGGCACTCTTGCAGCTGGTGAACCGGACCCCATTAAGGCGGCGGCAGATCTGCCAACAGGAAAACAGGTTGTGCTTAGAAGGTGACTGCAGAATGGAGACACACTCCACATGAGACACAGGCTCCGGAAGGCCCGGCAGGGCGTGAGGCAGCAGCTCAGCCCCAGGCTCAGCCGTTCCCTCTGCACCGGCTCCCCAGCTTCACGTTCTGCCAGAGGTGGAGAGGGCCGGCGGTCACTGCCCTGGGCGGCCCTGCCCCGCGGCATGGGAGGTGTGTGCCTGTTCCCACAGGGCGCTCCTTCACAGTTCAGGGCCCTTCTGTTTCAGAGTGTCGCCTTCTTCTAAACTATGACCACATCATCTCATCATATTCAGCCCTTTGCTGCTGACCACTCTGAGGACAGGTGGAGGAGGGGCAGCAAAGACCAACTCAAGGAAGGAAGTCAGAGCAGCTCAAAGAATGTTGAGGCCCCGGTCAGGTCCTTAGGTCTTTCTGGAAGGCACAAAACAGACTCACTGGTCTCGACTCTCCTGTCCCACACAGACAGGGACAATTCAGAAGGCCACCTCCTGACCACCAGGCCCCACAGGCCATTCACTCTCCACCTCCCTCGGGCCCTGGCACAGGCAAGGTGCCAGTGTGCCTGCCCCTCACACGTGAGAAGCTCCCTCGGTGGGCCGCCTCTGGGCTGGGAAAGGGACACCTCAGGGCATCCCCTCATCCCATGGAAAGGGTGTCTGGGGTCACTTCATCTGCATGGCTGGGTACAATCCTTGGTACACGGTCCCCAAACCCAAATGCCCTAAAACAAAAGATTTTCTGGGTAAGTGTGAGGCAGCCTCATTTGGCAGCAAACCCAGAGCTGAGCTGGTGTAAGCCTACTTATAATTTTTATTTATCCCTTTTGTATAAATAATCATGCTTTTCAGTGAAGCAATATTAATGAGTTTGATTCCAGAGTGTTTCCCAGAGCCTCCCAGGATGTTAAATCACATACATGTTCCAGTGAAGCAATATTAATGAGTTTGATTCCAGAGTGTTTCCCAGAGCCTCCCAGGATGTTAAATCACATACATGTTCCATGTTACATGTATGTGCACCAACTATATACCATGTCACTTCTCAAATAAGGATACCTGTAAATTCCAAACCTTCTGGCCCCAAGGGCTTCAGACAGGGCCTGTGGACCTGCACCAGAGACCATGAGAACACTGGTATTGAATGAGAAACCATCCGGGCTGGACAATGGCAGGTTCCAGTGACCCACTATGCTCCGGAAGATATCAGAGACACTGCAGCACCGTCCTCAGGACGGCACCACACCTGCTTCTCAGGCCAGCACAGCCAGGGCCAGTGGCTGCCACTGGGATGCCACCAGGTAGAGAGCACAGTGAGGCAGAGAGCACTGACACTGTGTCCAAGAAAAGACAAAATGGAAGAGCCCAAGCAAGTTCGGCAAAGACCACCGGGAGGACAGGCTTCTTCTGAGAACAGACAAAAAAATTTAAAAAAAAAAGAAAAAAGGCCCTAAATAGAATGTAAGCTAGGTGAAGAATGAGTTCATTCAGACATGTAAAACCATAACTGACAGATCAAGGGTGGTGGCCATGGCCAGGCTCACTAAACTCTACAAGCTGCAGAGTTCACGGCCCAGACATGTGGCATAAACTAGAACCACAACATTCACAGACAGAGCGTCCAGAGCTCGCATGAGGTTCCAGGAGGAAGGCAGGGGCCCAAGAGGGCAGAGTCCGCAGTCCCAGGCTCCGGGCTCCAGGGGCCCCAGCCAGCCAGGGGACCCTGGCTGGTCTGGTCTCACCACCCGTGAAGTGAGGAGCTGGACCTCACTAATGATATTCCAACTCTTCAGCCAAGACCCCCTGCTCATGTATACAAATGAAAATTAAGTAAGATCCAGAAAAAGAGGCAGCTCTGGTCAGAGTGAAGATAGGAGGGCCCAAGGGCTCAGTGGCTTGACACTGATGTCCCTACCCACTTGTCCACTGGAAGGGATCCCAGGTGGACAATTTGAAAACTGACTTATCCAGGGTCTCTGAGACCCTTCCAACTGAATCTGTGCCTCTGTACCTTGGGGCCTCCGGTCGGGACAAAAGACATGGGCTGGATGGACTGCTTTTTGACCCATCATCCCTACAGGTGATTGTCTGTCTGTTTGTTTGTTTGAATCCTCACTCAAGGATAGGTTTACTGATTTTAGAGACAGAGAGGGAGAGAAACCCTGACTGGCTGCCTCCTGTACACACCCCCACTGGGGGTCAAACCCACAACCTAGGCACGTGCCCTGGACTGGGAATCAAACCCACAACCTTTTGGTGTATCGGACAATGCTCCAACCAACTGAGCCACCTGACCAGGGCAGTGACAGTTTTTCTATTATATAACAGGAGGAAAAAACAGAGCCACAGTTCCCAAACAAGGCACGCACAGATCTCTGCATCCTGTCTGCAATGCTGTGGAGGGGCAGTCCCCCCACTGCCCCCCGGCTCTATAACCGGGGCAGTGATCCACTTGCCAGTGGGGAGTGCAGGGCCTGCTCCTTCTCCAGGAGAGAGGGGTGTGCCCATCCCTCCCCCATGCTCAGGCCAGGCAGGGAGCTGGGATGCCATCTGGGGCCACTTGTGAGTCCCAAAGATACAGAGGTCCCAGTGCTCCATGGAGATGAGTTCGACCCGCCCCGTGAGGGGTGAGTGAACAACTCACTGCTGTGACAGCAGGCTCAGAGCAGGGACCTGGAACCCCACCTGTTTGGAATGTTAGGTGCTCAGGTCAAAGAGGAGATCTAAGTGGCCGCATATGATAAAACACTGTGTACAGGAACTGTACTGGTCACCACGGTCTGTCACTGGACCTATTCCAAGATGCAGGAGGCAGGGAGTTTAGCTGGTATCAACTGCAGGTGTCTGAGGGTGACAACAACCATTGGTCTGGTTATTAAATGCCCCAGGGGACAGATTCTGTGTCAAGCTTATCAGCATTCAGGGAGCCTGAAAGTCACAGGCAACTTTCAGTATCTGCCCGAGTTTGTGGACACACTCAGTGTCTTTCTCTTGTGTCCACATGGACAAATGCACCCTTTCCATTCCTAGCCCAGAACTGGATTGTTACTGTTGTTATTATTAATATTACTAGCAGCGGGAAGAGCAGTAACGCCCTTTTGCTCACAGTAATGCACACCTCAGCAGCTTGCCAGAGGATGTCCACGTTCTTGTTCTTCCTGGCATGGACGTTCTGGCCCAGGAACCGCAGCAGCTCCGGCAGGCATGTCTGGCTCCGAGACCGCGGTAAGCCTGGAAGAGAAAAGGAGCTGAGAGCGGCTGCCATACCCAGGAACTCAGCCCCGTGAGTCGTCCAGGCTCAGAAATGTGAAAATGAAGAGTTTCGGGCTGACACTGGAAGTTTAGTGTGATTTAAACAAGAAAGCAGGGGTGTGTTTAGGTCCCAGACCTGGCTGCCAGTGTGGTGAGCACTTAATTACTCCCACTGCCATTTCGCTTCCACCTGCAAAGGGTACTTGCTTTATCCTCTTTCAGCTCTTCCAAGAAGCTGGAAGGTGGACACTGAACTGCCAAGGGCAGGGGGGAGGGAGGAAGGAGTGAGGAGGACCCATTGAGTCTTCACAACCTTCCCCAGGGATGGAGGATGCTTTGGGCAGTGGCGTCAACCACTAGGTAGGCTCTGCCATTGCTGAGGGATGTGGGAAGGGCAGCCTCCTGCAGGTGGCCTTGGACTGGTCCAGGCAGGTGTCTTCCCACCCTCTCCAACAGCTCCCTCTGCCACAACATCTTCGAGCTCTTCCAGGACCCCTCCAACCAAAGACCAGTCACATGACCACCTCACTTAATAAACCTGGGATGTTCAGACACTAGGATCATCGGAGGAAGAGAGGAATCTCAAGGTCAGAACTAAGGATGACAGCCATGGTGCCTAAGTCTCCAGATCAAAGCCAAATACATGGAATTCTGGGATCTAGATGCATGTGTAGCATCCACTGTAAAACCTCATCCTGGTGGACACAGGATCTTGTGCTAATTATTTCACACTCTCAGTGCCATGCCAGTCAGAGGACAAGGCTGAAACACAGGAACAGGCTAGGTCTGTGAGGAAGGCTGTGAGTGCCCAGAAGAGGCAAGTTATCAGAATTCAGTGTCCTGGAGGACACCATCTTACTTCCCGGATGAGCTGCAGCTTATTCCTGGCTCCCCACGCAGTGAACACCTGCCCACTGTGAGCAGAGCAGTCAGAGGGGTGCTCACTGGATGGGTTCCACCCGCTCAGCCTCACACGCCAGCAGTTCCACCAGGGCTAAAGGCTACATGGCTGCCACTCCCCCAGCCTCCTGGGTCAGAGTCCGGAGCTGCCGGCTCTGCCCCGGAGAGGCTCGTGCCCAGGTAGTTTTTGCTCCTGTGGCTGCACCCTTCCTTGGCTTCATCACCAGGCCATGTTAACATCTCCTGGGGCCTTTCGTCACAGCAAACTCCCCACCCCCCAAAATGCTAAGCACAGAACTCCCTCTTCCTGACCACAGTGCTTGCCAGTAACTAAGACAGAGTGTGACGGAGGCCCGTGTGATGTGGGAGGACCGGACAGAAAGGAGACCCCTGGGACTGCAGCCTGAGGACAGTTCTCTGGGTGGGGTCTTGGCCGGGCAGAGTCTGAGCAGGTAAAAGGGCTGCCATGGGGGACAGGGCGCAAGGAAGAGGGCGGCCCCTGGAAGTCCGGGAAGCAGCGAGAGTGGCCGGAAACACACAAACTCTCCAAGTGATGTAAGATAATGGGTTGGATCTACCATAAATAAAGAAACACTTACAGTCCTCAGGCAAAACTTCCTTAAACTGCTCGAAGTAGGAATTTAATCGCACCAAACTCTCCACATTGATAACTTCTTGTAAAGACGTATCGCCAAACCTTTGGAGGTCACAAGAAACACTGTTAGTTGGTTAATATCATTTTCTTCTAGTACAACCATACTGCATCAAAGATTTTTCTCAAATATTTACTTGTATGTATCAAATTCTGAGCCACTTTCCTCCTCCAAGCATAAGGCTGTCACCACTGCGCTGGTGACAAGTTCAAACCCATTTTATTAGTGGGAACCATGCACACTGGGTCACAGATATGCCTAAGAGGTTAGAAGAATTCAGTCCGTACCAGCCCCTTGCACAACACATCAGAGCACAGACAGCACAGAAACCCTGACAGCACATGGCTGGGAGTCCGTGGCCTCCCACCCTGGAGTTACTTAGGAGAGGGGACAGCAGTGGGGTGAAGGCTGGGGAGTGAGGACACAGTCCTGCATGTGGTCTGAAGCACTGCCCGCTGAATGACCACACCCGCAGCTGTTCCTCCTGGACTGTGTGGGGACTCCAGCTCCTCTCACCACGCGGGTTCACCCTGCCCATCCCGTAGGCAGTCAAGATGTGCGAGGGGCAAGGGAGAGGCAGAGGAGAGCCAGCACCAGGAAGGTGCAAAGTAGTCACTAAAACATGCAGGCTCCGCACTGGCCCCAAGGCCGGGTGAGCAGTCTAGCTCTACCCGTCCCTGCTGTGTGATCTCCCTACACGGCAGCCTCTTCGTGGCCCCACGGCCTTGCTCAGAGGGGAAAACTCCTTCCTGTGCGTCTACCACAGCCTGTCCATCTGAGGACCACACGGCTTTTCCTCTAGGTACCTGCTGCCTTGGGGATCACCCTGGGGCATGAGTTGTGGAGTGAGTGTCCCAGGAGCAAAGCAAGAGCCCTGCACTCACCTCACCATCACATCCTCCTCCACCTGCCACGTCGTCCGCTCACTGCGATGGAACACTGCCTCGGCCCTTCCCAAAACTGCTCTCCAGAGCCATCAGGAATGGCAGCTGCATTTGCAGCAGATGTCGTTCTCCTCCCTGGGACTAGCTCCACGCCTGGCCCTGACACGCCCACCCTCCCTGAAGTGGGCTCCTCCATCTGCCCAGAGCATGAGCTCCTGGCTCCTGAGCTGAGTGCCCCCAACTCCCATTGCCAATCTAGAAACCTGCCTGTCATTCTCCCCACTGTCCCTCTCTCTCTCCCAGAGCTGCCCAACTGAAGACCTAGCCTTCAATTTCACTGCTGAAATTGCTTGCCACCCACAGGGCCCCTGCCTGCCTCTGGCTGGACTCTTTCCAATAACCTCCTCAGCATACTGTGCCCTAACATCATTCAGGACACAGCCAGCAAGCAATCTACGAAACCTATGTCCTGCCCTGCTAACAGCTCTCCCATATCTCCCACCACATTTGCTTAAGTGGGGTGACCCTACACCTAGGGGTCAACATCCACTGGGTTTAAAAGCCCAGTAGGAATATAGCCTATTGTCCTGGAAATCGAACGTCTTTAACAGAAAGAGATCTTTCTATTTTAAAGCACATACAGCACATGAATATAATGTAAAGTCAGAAAGATTTTCATGTACTAAAGGTCATTGCAGGTTACACACACCCAACCCCCTCCTCCTCTGCAACACATTCGGTACATGTGCACACACACACACTTGTACAAATGACTCCTCCCTGCTACCTAGCAGGTGATCCTGGAGGGAGTTCACAAAGCATAAGCCTTTAGGATGAAGGTGTGACTCTCAACCCTGCACATAGGCCTCACCTTGCTACTGCCCATCCTGCTGGGAGGGCCTCTGGCCCTCAGGCAGTCTGTCCCTGCCTGTCTTTGCCCAGAGTTCTTGGCCTGGGACACTGGGTACCTCCTTAATCTCATCTGACCAATTCCCACTTACTCTTCAAATCCCACTTCCGCAATCACCCTCTACAGGAAAGCCCTCTCAGACCTTGTTAGGGCCCCTACTCCCTGCGTTATTGTCATCCTTGCACCCACGACTCTTTCCTGCCAGCCCGTCTCTTGAGGACATGGGCCATGTCTGGTTCATCGTGTGTCCCCTCCACCAAAGACAGGGTTGGGTATATGGCTGCAGTTGAAGACTGTTGGCCAAAGGAAGGGATGAGAAAGTCCACCCACCACCACTCAGAGCCTGAAGAGGGATAAGCACACTTTCTACACCATCTCATTGACCATCCCAGCTACTCCGGTCCCCGCGACGGCCGAGCACGCACCTCTCAGCCAGTGTCTGCTGCTCATTGATGCCCACATTGAAGAGTACAGGCTGCACCCGGAGCAGCATGCCACTCTGGATCTCCCGAGGCAGGGCGTCGAACAGGGGGGCCGGCAGAGGGATCCGCACATTAAACCCATCCCTAGGAAACAGGAGAGAGGATGAGGAGGGTTAGGCTTGTGATGAGGTGGTGGGAGAGGAGGCATGTGAGAAGAGGAAAACCAGCTATCCTTAACATGGAGTGTGGGCTGGCCATCTGGCTCAGTGATTTCCAAACTGCTGGGTGTGACCTTTAAAGGGTAAAATTAATGTAGAGGGCTGTGATCAGCACTTTTGACTGAATGAAACAAGAAAACAAAAATGAACAGTGCGTGGCAGTAACTTCCGGTCAAGATGTCAGTGAGGTAAATGTGGTACTCACCTCCTCCCCCAACCACATCTTTACAACTAAACTACAGAACAACCATTATTCAAAACCACCTGAAGTCTGGCTGAATGGAAGTCCTACAACTGGGGAATTAAAGAAGAAGTCACTATAAGACTAGTAGTGTTACCAGTAGACAGCCTGTCAGGACCAATGAGGAGGCTCTGGCCTGCAGCAGTGCTGGGAGCAGGCTGAGGGTAGGGAACATGAGGGGCTGCCAAAGGGACAGAGCTAGCTAGGCCATGAGAATGGGACCTGGGAACCACTTGTGCATCAAGCCATAGCCCTTAGGGACAGAAGTCAGAGGTTTGAGTACTGAGGGCATGCAGCTGGTCAAAGAATACCTATATGAACAGCCAGTGTTAATAGTGAGGACATTGAGCTTCTCAGAGCGGTGCATGCAGTGCCAGGTTGCACTTCCATGGGGTGTAATGCTGCATTGCCCAATTAACTGCGTGCAAGCCTTGTGAACACTCCGCCCCTGGAGCAGACATCCCACCCCTCCCACTGAGGTTGCCCTTGGTGCTGCATGAGAGGCTGTGCGGGGTTTCCAGGGATCCTTTGCTTAGGACTACAGTTCAGTGCTGTCAGTGGGCTCCGAGTGAGGGCAACTCGCTGCCTGTGAGGACTAGGGCGTGGGGGGTGTGGAGTTGATGGGTCGGGAAAGTCTCCCCATCAGCCAAGATGGTGGCAGGGGGAGGTTCCTACACTGAGCATGTGCAAGGCTAACAAGATAATTGGATAGAGGAAAAAGACCTTCCCCCACTCCCAATACCAGATTGGAGGTGCAACTGGGGGAAGTAGGCACATGCACCATACAATGCTGGACCAAAGAGGCCTGTCAGTCTAGCCTGGGGAAGAAGAGACTGGTTGGGAGATGAACCCACCCAAAGGCTGTGAAAGCTCCTGGTCCATCCCACACTCAAACTAACATAGTCCCAGAGGAAGAGAAAATTAGCTCCCTTTTCTCTGGCTTCCTGGCTCGTGATCTGCACTCCGACAACAGGCTCACCTATTCTCTCCATGGGCCACGTGGCCTTAGCAGCAATGGATGCTCTCTCCATGGCTTTCATGAGAAAGCCTCTCTCCTGATCTTGCCCACCTGGTGGCACACTGGCTAGTGCGTTCACACGACTTTGTGCCACGGCAGCCACAGGGCCCACAGCCACAAAGGCTCCACACACAGCTTCCAGTGGGGAGCCTGAAATGGACTGTAGCTGGGAAAAAGCTGAGCTACCTAGATGACCGCTTAGCAGTCACCTGTGGAATCCAAAGGACAGTCCTTTAAGATGAAGCAGGAACTCTGGACACTGGCTTTTGTCTTAGTCTTGCAGAGGAGATGAGCTTTGAGACACAAGTTTGCCATTCTCCCAGATGATGCAGCACCTGAATGAAACCTCTTTTGTTTTACCCCAGCATCTGCCTCACAAGTTTGGCTTCTGTGGCAACAGGCAGACAAATCCCCAGGGTTTTCTGTTTGGTAACAGTAAGAGGGGCGGAAACATGTAACAAGCTAGTTCCACACCCACATGTGCAGAATAAAAATTGTGAGGGATTATCTTGGCTGTGGAGGTCCCCCCTAAGGATAGGAGGTCCTAGCCCCAACCAGGCCACACAGCCCAGGATTCCAGTGCCAGGAATAGAAGGGTCCATAACTTCTGGCTGAAAAACCTAGTGGAGATTGAGGCTGAGGGAGACAAAGGGCAGCTGGAGCCCTAGAAGTTCTTCTTAAAGAGCGCCCCCCCTTGGACTTACTCGACTCACTCCCTCTGAGCACCAGCACTGGGGCAGCAGCTTGAAAGGCACCAGAGACATATAGGGAGGAATTAAATTGTCTGCCATCAGGGCAACAGCTGGGCGGCAGCTTTCTCCCAGACAGAACTGTTGGCAGAAACCAGTATTTCCTTTCTAAGCCCTTCTCCCAAAGAGAAGCCAGGCAGATGTCATATCTGAGACTCCATCAACCTGGCTCACACTGTTAACCCTACCCTGGTGATTCTCTGAGGTCCTGCTGTACCCAGCTTTCAGGCCCACCCAAGCTATTTCCAGTGGCTTATCCATACCAATGGCCTGTCTTGGCCCATGCTTCAGATTTTCCTAAAATGTCTCAAACAAGCAGCATCTGGCCTCAGCATGCCCCATATCCCTCACCAAGTGGTCCCAGGCCTGGAACCAGCAGCAGCCAGCCTTGGTTCACAGTTTGGCCTTGCCTAGGCACCGCAAAACCCAGCACATATAGCAGCTATCTGCATATCGCTTTGAAGCTCATGTTGGTTGGCCCTGGGTAGAACACAGGAAGCAGTTGACCTTGGCCTGCACTTCCCATCTGCATCGAAGTACCACCATCCAACCATCTCCACAAATGGTACATTCAAGGGGAGGACTCAGCAAGCACCAGAACCCCAGTGAAATAAGTTCTGCTCTGTGGAGTGGGCCCTCTGCATAACTGATCCTCCATGGTGGTCAGAGGGCAGTAGTCAATGGTCACAGTCAGTCATTGCTGATAATTAGCCTGGAGGTAAATCCCTCCCATTGACATTCCAACAGTAATCAAGACTGAGCTACAAGAGGAGGGTGTATGCAGCCCACATGGTGGGTACACCTCAAGTGCTCAGCTTGGGTGATCAGGGAGCCTGTGCCACTGCATCCTACAGAATACCTACTACATTAGGCCACTCTACCAAGCCTGGAAGACATAGAAGCTCTACCTAATACATAGAAACAAACACGGGGAGGCTGCTAAAATGAAGAGACAAAAAAAATGTCCCAAAGGAAAGAACAGAAACTCCAGAAAGAGAACTAAACAAAATGGAGACAAGCAATCTACTAGATGCAGAACTCAAAACACTGGTTATAAGGATGATCAAGGATTTACTGAGGACCTCAATAGCCCAAAAAAGGACCAGTCAGAAATGAAGGATACGCTAACTGAAATGAAGACTAATTTACAGGGAATCAACAGTAGAGTAGTTGAAGCTGAGAATCAAATTAGCAAGTTGGAATATATGAAGTAAAAAACACAAGGGAGCTCCCATAAGACTATCACCTGATTTCTGAACAGAAACTCTGCAAACCGGAGAGAATGGCAAGAAATATTCAAAGTGGTGAAAGGCAAGGACCTACAACCAACCCTACAGAACTATCACTTAGAACAGAAGAACAGATAAAGGGCTTCTCAAACAAGAAGAAGTTAAAGGAATTTACCACCACCAAACTAATATTGTATGAAATGTCAAAGAGTTTTCTTTAAGAAGAAGGAAAAAAGATAAAAATATGAATAAAATGACAATTAGTACATATCTATCAATGACTGAATCTAGAGAAAATAAATAAACAAGTCGAGCAGAATCAGGCTCAGGGGCAGAGAGAACATTCTGACGGCAGCCAAGATGAGAGAGGGGTGGGGGGATGGGTGAAAAAGGTGAAGGAATTAAGAAGCACAATTTGGTAGTTAGAGAATAATCTTGGGGCTGTAAAGTAGAGCATAGAGAACAGCCAATAATAGTCCAGTAACTATGTATGGTGTCGGATGGGTGCAGGATTTATTGGGATGATCACTTACATAATGTCTAATCGCTGTGGTGTATACCTGAAACTATATAATAATGTATGTCAACTGTAATTACCCTTTGCAACAACATGGATGGAACTGGAAAGCATTATGCTGAGTGAAATAGGTCAGGCATTGAAAGACAAATACCATATGATCTCACCTTTGACAGGAAGCTAAAGAATAAAACAAACAAGCAAACAGAATAAAAACAAAGACACTGAAATAGAGAACAAGTGGGCAGCGACCAGAGGGGGAGAGGGAAGGGAACTTAAGGGGGAAAAAAGGGGGGAGGGATTTTGAGGAACAAGTATGAAAGACACAGGGATGAGGACTGGGGGGGGGGGATTGGAGGGAGGAGGGGAGACGGGGTGGGGGGTGGGATGGGAGAAATAGATAAAAAATGTACTTGAAAAGTAACTAAATAAAATTTATTATTAAATAAATAAATAAATAAATAAATTAATTTAATAAAGAGTGCATGGCAGGTAATAAACATAAATTAAGACATTGCTAGTTCTGAGAATTTAACAAAACACTTCTACCGATTTCCTGTGATGACGGGCAGCATGTCAGTTGATGCACTGGAAGTGGCTTGAGTGACTTTGAAGGTCACATTCCTCAAGTCCATAATTCCAAGGCTCATGTCCTCCAGCATGGCCAGCTCCTCACCTGGATGCAAAAGAGGGAAGGGGGCTGTTAGATGGAGGGGGCCTGCCACTCTCCCCACGGACTCGGCCTGGTCATAGGGCGGGGCACGAATGAAAGGTGGCACAATCGGGTGTGGCTGTGAGGAGCGGCAGGGAAAGTATGGGCAGGGGCCTTTCTGAGCCTCTTCACTGGGCAACTCACTTCTCTCTGAGTAAATGCTGCTATGAACCCCACAGTCACGTTAAAAATGCAGCTGGTAGAAACATGGCCCACACCGCCCAGCCCTTCCCTGAGGAAGACGGTGTGGGGAGGGAGACAGACAGGTGTGCAGCCTCAGAGGCTACGGGCACGGCTGGCTCTTCAGAACTAGACAAAGAGGGCATTGTGGCCAGATCCTTTCGCTGCACACAACCTGATATTTGCTAGATGCCTTATAATCCTAAAGACTAACAAATACTTTAAAAAATTATTTATTTTTACATTCTCAGAATAAATAAATAAAAATGAAGGCAGGGAGGAAAGAGCCTTTCTAGGAGGCAATTTGGAAATACCTATGAAATTTAAAAATATTTCTACCATTTGGCACAGCAACTTTCCCTCTAATAATTCAGCGGCTACAGAAATGGGCCCACGGGGTCACAGACCATGTGCAGACACACACACATCAACACTGTTTTCACCAGAGGAGCTCAGAAAGGACCCAGACATCCTACAGGAAGCTGGACCATGAGAATCATCGTCCTTCTTCAACTGGGGAGATCCCCAGATACATAACAAAAATCACAAAACAAACGAGCAGGGGTAACTATACAGGACTCTCATCTGGTTCTTTGCTACATATTTTGGTGATGTTGGAAATATTTGAATCAGCATGTGTTATTTGTTTAATCAGAAAAATATTTAGGAGGAAAGCACGGGGTCACATACGTGCAGGCTCGCACGAACCCCCGGACAGTAGAGGCACGGGTGCGGGAGCCCAGGTCTCACCATAGGTGCTCAGCAGGCTCTCAAACTGGGCGAGCAGCCCGATGGTGTAGAGCTGCCGCAGGAAGCCGTCGTCATGCAGGCAGTTCCTCAGCTTGATGATGAAGCCACAGATGAGAGCGGTCAGCTGTGGGGACAGACACCTCCTCACCCAGTGGTAGTTGCCCTGGCCCCAGCTCCCCCACTGCCTCACTCCAATGGGGGTTCACCAGACCCTGCTGCCGTGGGGCCTGGGGGTGGGAAGTGCCTGGCTCTGGGACCCCAGGGCGGGTGTGCCATGCTCCAGTCTTGCTTCTGTTGCTCCCAAAGGTAACTTTGATTTTGGCTCAGCGTCTGACCTGACCTCCCTGCATTTACTGCTGGGCTAGAACCTTCTGGAAGTCAAATTAATTTCCCTCAGTGGAAGGATCTATATACTCACAGTTCCGTACCAGCTCTGTATGGAACCTGAGGTGACCACAACAAGGAACAGAAGTCAGAGAGGACAGAGTCACTCTGCCCTTCTTCTCAGTGGGAGACTTTCCATGGTACGAAACAGGCCTCATGGGGAATAACACACAGAAAGCCAGCCCAACCCCGTATGGCCATTCCCTGGGCTAAATTAATGACTGGCATCTATGAAACGTGTGCCATTCATTTAAGTTCTTCTGTTCCCTGAGGATAACAGAAATCACTAAAACACAATTATACATAGCTGCAGAACTAAGCACCTGCTGTTTTATGAACAAGAAAACAGTCTGCACTGATAGCGAACAGCCGTGTCTCCCTCGCTAATATCATTTGTGGGGGAAAGAAGGCAGCGAAGGGGACTGAGCCACTGGCAGCACCGCCACGTCCCGGGGGCAGGAGGAACGGTGTGTGCATACCCAGTGCCGATGGTAGGGAGAAGCCGGCGTGGAATCAGACTTGCTCCTACACACAGACAACTGAGTGGGTCCCTCCCTGTGCATTAAAACCTAGTGCTACGTGTCAAATGAATGTCAAAGCAACAGGGAGAACGCGTCGTCATCTGCGCTTTCTCCAACGTGCAGGGGGGATGGCTTCCTGGGCCTGTTTTCTGGGGCAGCGGGGCTGGGACCTACGGTTTGGCAGAAGACCACGTCTCGGCGGTGCTGCAGGCTCAGGTAGGTGGCTATGGTGGGCGCACTGTCCTGCATGAGCAGGAAGACCATTGCCTTCTTGGCCTTGTCGCTCATCATGGCCACACAGTCGGTGAGAGTGGTCAGCAGTGGGTAAAGGGCCTCACTCCATTCACCTGAGCACAGGGGGCAAGGGTGGAAGACAGCGTTTGAGAAGATTGAAGAACAAGGTTCTGGAAGACCAACAAGGTGCCCTTCCCTCACCCACACCGCTCTCCCACCCCCACTCCCACTCCCACCCCTTCTGCATCTTCTAACTCTGCCTGGCCCATACTCTGGCCCCAAATGGCACCAAGTTCTTCCGGGATACAATCCAGTCCCCAACCTTCCAGCCTAAAGCTTTCTATTAAACTCAAATGTTATTTCTTGGACCTGACACGTGCCTGGTCTCCCAAACCTATGAGAACTCAACATGTAAGTACTCAAGACTGTTCTTTTTGAGGGAAACAGAAAAAAAAACAAACTTCAAGTCATGACCAATAAAGAAAATTACTCTGTCTGCAGAGGCCAAGACCCTTTGGCAGTACCAATGGTCCCCCACCCAGGGATAAATGCACCCAGGAGAGTGACCTCTTGCCTTGCTTCTCTTGATGTAGGCATTAAGGAAGACCCCTGTCCTTGTAGAGCAAAGAACATCTCTACCCCGGTCTGGCCTTTGTGTACCTGGACTGAATCCCCCTGTGCACGTCTGGAAGAAAGACCGTCCCACAACGGTTTCCCATGTTTCCAGCTCCCAGAACATCCCTTCTTTCTGCACTCATTCTCTTCCCCACCCCGACCTTCCTGCCCAGCTGCCATCTATTTCTAGCCTAGATTTCTTTTTTTAGGAAAATAAGGAAGCTTTGACCCTGTACCAAAACAACTTTGTAAAAAGAGAACCTCAGGGGGAAAAAACAGAGTGAAAGGTATTTTGGCCTTTGGCTCTTTTTTTCCTTCCTTTTAAGAAGACATTTAAAAGGGAGAAGACGTGCTCTCATCAGTTATATTTTTAACAGGTCACCAAACCCAGAAATAGTCACTTGGTCACCACCACTGGGTGCACCCACCGCACCAAGTGTGGCAGAGGCAGTGGAGTGACACCTGGCCAGCAGAGGCCTCTGGTGGCAGAGGTGGCAGCCACAGAAGGCCCACAAACGTCCCCTCACTGGGGAAGGCTCCGGGGACACGTGGGCAGAACACCTGCAGGAAGGGTGAGCTCTTAGATACATGCAGCAGGGAGTGCGACCTGGCTCTGCTCTCTGACCAGGGGTTTAGCGCTTCACTGAAAAGCAAATTTAGAGAAATGCCTAAAACCTGCAGAAGGACTTCCCCATATCGTTTGGTGAATGTGGATTTTTGAAGTACATGTAGCTATTCAAAATTTGGCAATGACTTAACTGTATATGTCGGCACACTGTACGTGGACAAGGATTTATAAGTGTAATGGAAAAGAACAGGCTTAAATTTAGAATGTCTACAGCAGAAAGAATTTAGCAAATAAGCCACAGTGACAAAGAACCCTGGACCGAAGCGTGGAAAGTGTGAGTCCTGGGCCCGGTGCCCCCGCCAACGTGGTAGGCTGTGGGCGGGTCCTTGACAAAATGGAAGAGTCCTACTAAATAATACCCAATGCTCTTTCTTCCTCTAAAAAATCTCAGAGACCATATTTTTGTTTCTTTGAAGAATTCTGCTGAATGCATGTCAACTACATTCAGCAACTATTAACCAAGGCCAATGGCAACTAAGTTTTAGTAGCCAAATAGTCCAGGGAAAGGCAGGCAGTCATAGAGACTATTCACGAAGAAATACATGTTCTTACAGCAACTGTTGCCAATTTTACTTTCTTTTCCACTTAATGAGCATATGCATGTGCAATTAATGTGACAATTATGATCATTTTAACATGAAAATGCTCAAAACACAGGAGCGGTCCTATCTGGGTGAGCAGGCCCTCTCGGCACAGAGGCTTTTGACTTTGCCTACTTCTCCTCCAAAAAATCCACAGAAGAATGACTCAGTTTTCCTACATTCAACACACACACGCACACATACGCAAAGTTGGGAGAACAGAGAGAATGGTTAGAAAGCACTTGGCGTTTGTCCTGGAGGAGAGGACATGAGGACACGAGGACCTGGGTGGGGATGGGCCTGCCATCCGCGCAGAGCAGGGCTCGGGCTGAGCGCGGACCACCACCCTCGCGCTGCCTGCCGAGCGCTTCACTGTTTAACCACTTTCTCACTGAAGCCACTGACACAGGAAAGGAAACAGGCTTGGCAAGGCCTGGAGGACACGCTGGAAGGCCGGCCACTTGTCCGCGTGGGCTCCTGTGATGTGACACTGCTTCAGAGTAGGGGCAGGGTGGTAATGCCTTTGGGTCAATATGAGGAAAAATTAAAATGTAAAACTTCCAGACAAAATGAATTTCAGGGACAGCGACAAGATGTATACCCAGGACCTATAGTTTAGTAAAGGTATCTGGGATGTTAGGGTTGGTGAAAGGGTTATTTACTGTGCTTCCTTCATCAAGAAAGTCTTGCTATGAAAGAAAATAGCATCAACTAACAATGCCCTTAGTGATGAAACCAACACACTGTTTGGGGCAAGCTCCTTATCTTGTTGCTAACCTGTAACATTTGCTGGTTGGTAGCCAATCCATGGACCATAGTTTTGCATTTTTTCCTTATTAATAGGAGAAGAAAGGAGGGAAGGAGATTAAAAGAGAAAGGGAAGAATAATGTGTGTGTGAGAGAGAGAGCGAATCCACACTCAATAAGGTTCTGCGGGGAAAGTCAAAGGAATTCCTGGCAGGGGACCATTTTAGTCCATTTGACATCAACTGTGGACATCCCACCAGCATTTCCAGAAAGAACACGACTGACACAAGCCAGGAGAGTCCTACAGGCCAGGCCTGGCCTGTGAGCTCCCTGCCTGGGAACCCACTAGTCTCCCCTCTAGTTCTATGAACTTCAGGACAGTGTGTTGAGGAGGGAACCCTGAGCTTCCAGGGCGCAGGTTCATGATGCTGCCACTCCTTTCCTAGTCCTGGTGGCTGGGTGTGGTCTGGACTTCACCGCAGGCTCCAGGAAAACCAGCACATCAAGAAGGCACAGACCAGCCGTGGAGGTAAACTGAGGACTGGAAGCACAGAGACAGAGAGGAGGGAAGAGGAGAGGGCACAGGCCAGGAGTGGCAACGGAGGGACAGGGACCAAGTAGCTACCCGTGTGTCTACCAAGACTTAGGTGGCCCTGAGGGTCCAGAGGTTTGGGGTGGGGGACCCAACACTGACTTTTTGGGGAAAGAAAACCTGTAAAGGGGCTAAAAGCAAATTTGAGGTGGGGAATGGTGAACCCAATCAGATGAGCCCACTAACGAGCTCACACCAATGGGGTTCTGGGGCTGTGGCCCGCAGTGACCCCCCAGTGGCTGAGCTGGAATCCCGGTGCTGTTGCAAGCTGAGAGGCCTTGCTCACACCTCATAGGCAGAGTCGGGGAAATCCCACAAGTGCCTGTTCGCTGCCCTGTAGACACAAAGCCAGTGTCCTGCTAGCTGACATTTACATCCAGTCGGGAATGTGTGGTCATCAGACAATCACGCAACTGTTTTTATATTTAGAGAGGAAGGGAAGGAGAGAAGGAGAGAAATATCAATGTATGGTTGCCTCTCATGAGTCCCCTGCTGGGAACTGACCTGCAACCCAGGCATGTGCCCTGACTGGGAATCGAACAGTGATTGTGTGGTTCGCAGGCCCACGCTCAATCCACTGAGCTACACCAGCCAGGGCTATACACAACTGTTTTTAGACTATAGGAAAATAACACATTATTTGGAGCCTCATGCTCACTGTGAGGAAACCCACAGGCTACATCTGGGAAATTCAGTATGAACTAGAGCAGAGGTCAGCACACATTTTCTGTCAAGGGCTGGAGAGTAAATATTTTAGACTTTGAAGGCCATGGGGTCTCCACAGCAACAACCAGCCTCCGACACTGTCCTGCGAAAGCAGCCAGAGACAGTACGCGAACACATGAGCACAGTCAGTTTCCAGGAAAATATTATTTATAAGAGCAGGTGCCTGATAGGATGGCTCAGAGATGTGGTTTGCTGCCCCCTGTACGAGAGCCATAAACCTTAATTTCTACATGCAAATGTAGCAAACACCCCGTCTCCAGTGCTGACTGCAAGGGAAGCCCACAGCAACGTCTGACGTCTAAAGCTGCACCCAGACTCAGAAAAGAGGGTGCTGTGTGATCACAGGTGTCAGCGTTTGGGCAGCGACCTATTATCCCACCACTCCCTCCAGGTGATGCTCCTAAGCCCGGGTGAAATCAAAGGTAGTACCCTCTACAATTGTGTGCCTCTCTAAATCAGGTCACTGCTTCGGGGATCCCAATGCACTCATCAACTTACTCGTCTGGAAAAGCTTTAGGGCGGGTGAGTGGAAAAACCGCACATGGAGGCCTGCTTCTGGCCACAGTCCCCAGACCAGCTGGTCCCTCGCTAGACTTGAAAAGTATGCCCCACAATGAAGAAACTCCTAAAACTGTTTTCTAACTCTGGGAGCACCAGGTAACCTGATAACATAGCTACAAATGCTGGCTGTGTATTTAAAAGACATCTGCAGACACCTTGAGCAGGAACCACATACCTGGGCCGGACTCTTCAGGAGGGGGGCTGCAATCTGCACAGAAACGGAGGGCAACATGGATGGTTAAGGAGCAGCACACAGTTCAAGCACCAGCAACTCGACGCTTAGAGCAACTGCTTCAACAGCTTGCAGTAAGGTGGCTAACCTGAACAGAGAAGAGGTGGGGCCGGGCCGCCTCTTCCCTGACAAGTCGCAGTCGTGCTCCGGCTGCTCCGAGGCAGCTGAGCCCCTTTGGTAGTAAACACGGCTCAATTCACAAGCATGCACATTCATGTTGCTAATATGTCGACATACCGTGCTCTTCCGTGGTGAGCACTCTAACACATTACAGTGTGACGAAGGGCCCAGTTCCATCACATTGCACGTGATGGAGCCCCCTGTTGGCTCACAACACTGGAAGCAAACTTGAAATGAGAGAGCCTGACCGGTTCCCGGAGGTCCCCACTGCTCTGCTGACCAGTGGTACCCAGGCTACAGCTTGGCCGCTGAGAGCCAAAGGTAGGATCCTGTGATGAGGCCGATATGCCAGAAACGTCTATGCCACTCTTTCTAACTGAAGCCAAATCTAGAACTTTTAAGATCAGGGGGAAGTCTAGAATTAGAACGTCCCTCCAGGTCCCTAGAATGCCAATTTAATTTGGTTTCACCTACATTGAGTCACACTGGGAAGTACTCATTTCAATTTCACAGTTCCTTTTAAAATTCTAAATCTTATGGTTAACTGGGTGTGCCACCTGAAAGAAAACAAGTTTGAAAATGGATCGTTTGCACTAAGGGCTTATTTTATTTTGCTATCTAAATTTTTGGTTCAAAGAATGTCTTCAGGATATTGAAATAGGTAGTTTCAGATCCCCAGGAATAGCCAGGACCAGAGACTTTCAGAACCTGTGGAGCTGTCTGAAAGTGGGTGCCAAGGGATCCTTCCCCTCCAGTCATCCTGGCAAAGGGGACCGAAATAGAGCATAATTGTGGGCCTCTGTGAGGTGCAGACTTCCACCTTGTCATTAGAGCTCATTACCAGGACAGAGTGACCCCTGTGGCATGGAGATGTAGAACAGTGACTCTGACACATCCGTCTGGCACATGACAATTACCCCAGGCCTTGAAAAAAAAAACAAACAGATTTCTGCCTTCTGCAAGAGTCTGGGAGCCTATTTTTATGGTCTTCCATGGTAATCCCAGACAGCTGGGTTGGGACAATTCCTGAGAAGGCTTGGGGTTAAAGCCAGTGGGTAAACTCATCTTCCAATCAAAGGGGAGCGGGAATGGTCCCCTGGGGTACTCCTGGACCAATTGCTTCTGTCTTAGGTCAAGGGAGTCCCTTGAGACTCTGTAACCACTATGAACTGTCTCTCAGTCTTGCACTTAATCTCAGCGCACACAAACCTGGCTGCAACCCACAGTCTTCAGCTTAAGGACAACCTGGTCCTGGCTGAATAACTCTTCAGGCATGAGGAGAGCAAGAGAGTGTGCGCATGGAAGGTAATGGAAGCCACAAATCCTGGTGGGGGAGTGGGGTGCAGGCTGAGAAAAGGATGTGAGCACTTGCAGGGAAAATGGGGAGGACAGAGAGGCTGACAGGGCCTCCAGTAGGTCCCTAGGAGCCCTGGCCGAGTGAGTGCCGCCCGCCAGGCAAGGTTCTGGACCAAGTCTGCAGGACGGTGGGCTAAGTGGCGGGGCAGCTCCGTAGCTAATGACGAAAATGAGGACTCAGGATGGGCAGAGAATTGGAAAAAGTAGTAAGGGCTTTCAAAGAGGTAGGGAGTTGTTTGTATGTAATAAATATGTGGGCGTGAACGCAACCTGCTTATGAGGCCAAACACCTGCTCCAGAAGCAGGGCGTGGTCTGACAGGGCCCATCTCTGGCCCTTGAGGACAAGAGGCTGAGTAAGATCCATGGCTCACAATCTGGTTCTTTCTGATCCTTCTGGTGATGCTGAGGTCTGAACAGAGTCCTGACAATGTGCAAGGTTTCTGAGCTAAGGGTTGTGCAGTTAACTCAGTGGCATAAGGCTTCACGTGTTTCTGTGAGTGCTGATCGGCAGAGTCGGATCTCTCAATGAGTCCGGCCTCCTATTCCCACCATCACAACACAGCTCCTTTGTGTGGCATGCACGATTGCACATCAAACCCTAAACAGTACAAGTCATAGATAAATGCTCATTTAAATAACTTTAAAACTGCATAAATATGTCTATATTTGAATGATATATGTCTAGAGAAAAATCACATTTGAGTTATAAATATAAACTAACAGTTATATCCATATAACTGGTTAAATAAACTATTTCCTGTATTTAAAATATCCAGTAATTACTTTTTATATCTGCAGAAAAAATTTAAAGTATAAGCACAACAATGTTAAAGAGAAATGAGCAATGAACTCCCAAAAACTTTTAAAAGAAACACAATTTACATTAAAAAATGAGAATATGAAGAGACAAAATGGCTTCATGAACCAACCACGGGCTTGGGGAACTGAACTCTGACCCCCGACAAAGGGAACAGTGGAAGACGCGAATACTGCCGAGACAGAGGCTCGAGGGAAACAGTGCCCTGGAGACAGACTGCAGGTAGATTAAGAAGGTGACGGGCAACTTACAAATGGAGAAAGATTTACCCATAGGCTCTAAGTCAAGAAGCAAGATCCTGACCTGAACAAAAGTTGCCCAGTTCCTCGCTGTATGAGGACTAGGCCTGACTTACTGCCTGTGGCTAAACGCCCCAAAGAAGAGTAAAGAGGAAACAGAAGCTCAGTCTGCAGCCTGCAGGGACGATGGAGCCCTGTCGCCATTCTCAAGGCTTTAAGCAGGGCTGAGCATCTGGTTATGCTCTGTGTCTCCGCAGACAGAAGACTCGTTCTGAGCGTGCTGCTTCGTGCCAATGTTCTACCATATACTGAGAGCCCCGCCCTAGAGGCAGGTGCAGAGGAACCTAACTCAGTCCCCAGAAGCACAAGAGTTGGTGCCACCACCAGACTGAGTTACCAACGCATCCCAAGGCAACGTGCCTCTGCCGGGTGAGGATGCCCAGCCAATGACAACTGGCCTTCAGACAAGTTCGCTGGGCCTGCTAACAGCTGTCCTCCAACTATGTCCCTGCACCATTCGCCTTGTCCTTGACTCTACCCATTTCTAGTGCAATCAATAGCCTCATGAGAAAGGCATGTGCTCTTTGGCCTCCTTCAGGTTCTCAGATAGTTTATAAATGAGAGAAACCTGGGAGCCCAACCCTTCCTGCAGTGGCAGTATGACCCAGGAGGGCCAAGAGCCAGCCGTTGCCAGACAGACACACAGGTGCACAAGCGGGCTCTGTGGGCATGAAAGCTACGGGCACCTCTGCCCTCACTGCCCACTGCCCCAGGCACTGCAGTGGCCACTCTGCCCAACAGCCCACCCTGCAGTCTGCACGGGGGAGGAGGACACGGGGGCAGACACAGCCAGACAGATGCAGCATGAAATGGAAGTAGCAGGTGGGAAGCGTGGATGATACGCACATGTGGTCAGCTGAGGATGGCATGCAGCAGACACGATGGAGGGGCATGGTGAGGAGTGGGCATCACAGAGGGGGTCTTCCGGTCTGATCCAGTAGGCGTGGCTGCCGTGGTTACCTTTCTTGCTGGGCCCACCACCCGCACAGGGGAAGGCGTCCTCGCAGCCCTCTCCATGCAGGCGCTCCTTCTGCAGCAGCTTGTCCACCCGCTGAATGATGCACTCCAGGCTCTTGTCCACATTCAGCCATACTTTCTCCTTCCAATCAGAGAGCTCATTTGGGTCAGCTCCCCAGTGGGAAAGACAGAACCAAACACAAACCAAACCGTCCTGCATGGATCCCCCACCCCCAAGCACCAGACTTTAACACACTGTAAGATTTAGAAATGTAACAGGATTTGTAATTCCCCAAATACCATTAATGTTGTATTTGCCTTTCAAAGGATGAATCAGTCCTTTGAAAAGCAGTGTCCTGGGGTCACTGGTTTTAAAATTTGGGAGATGTTTGTGAGTAACTGTCACGGAGGCCAGCCAGGACTTTCCAGTACCTTCCTGAGCTAAAGAAGGGTCGCAGGGCCCAGTGAGCCCTGCAGAGCTCCTGCACCACCACACCAGGGAGGAGTGAGGTGTCTTTTGGATGGAAGAGAATAGAAACAGCCGATCACTTCAGACAGGGTGGTGGGGAGGAGGTGAGAGGGGGTGGGGGCATGGGGACCAGATGCCTGATCAGAGCTGGAGGAGCCGTTGGCTGCTGAGTAGTTCATTATCTTAAGACTCTGCTTTTACACAATCCTGACAAATGACAAAACAAGTTCTATGGTATGTCCCCTCCCTCAGGGGACACAGATTTGCTCTTAGAGGTACCTCTATGGGGAAGCAACAATGCGATGCAGTGTCAGGGCAGCGTCTCCCAAATCCTCACCTACTGCCCCAGCACCTGAGCTCCCGCATCTGCAAATATACAAATAGCCCAGGGAGCTGACCTGACCTCATGGAGGGAGCAGGGAGGTCGGTGAGAGAGAACGCCAGGGAGGAAATAGCCCCTTTACAGCCAGGTCTGAGAGTGGCCAGCCCATAACTGCCCTGCTCTTCAGATGGACACAGGTGGTAAAATACTATCTTTCCCCCTAAATCGGGTGACTTAGCATCCATCTAAAAGAAGGCCCAGAGCTTGTTGGCAAAGGCACCAACCCTTTAGGCCCCTGTGAGGGGAGAGACTAGTGGGAAGTTTCACATTTTCAACCTGAGCTCAGTAGCATCATGAGGGCCACAGAAAGCAGACTCACCCACTCCTCCTCATGCCAATCCACTTGCAGAGAAGACCGGCTGTTCCTGCCTGTCCACCTGGCCATGAGGGTGTCCTGGTCATTCCTGAGCATTACCTGCTCCTCCTCGGTCGAGGTAGGGGAGGCCTTAGAGGCAATGTAGTCAGGCCGCGCCGCGTTCAGCCCATGGATGGAGTTGGCCAGCAGCTTGCAGTCGCAGACAGTGACCAGCTGCCGGGTCTGCAGACACACACACGCCAGGCCACTGAGCCCCAGGCCAAGGGCTATAAGACCTGTCCTCTCTGAGAGCTTGGGGACCGGCCTGAGCCCAGCATGCCTCCCTCTGCCCCTCTCCACAGCACAAACAACTGAAGGTGTCCTGCCCACAGGACACCGAGCTTAAAGGCTGCCTCATGACCCACCTGGCCGAACCTCCACCAGAACCTCCCACAGAAGACTGGAGAACCCAAAGAGGACGAGGGGAGGCTGAGAAACCTCTGACAGCCCTTGACCCTGCCTGCCTCTGAGCAGGAACGTCACTCAAGGAAGGGCCTAAAGGGAGCCCGGTTCAAGGACACCAGGGCTCTCCCCTCTAATTCTGGGGGTCAGCCTTACTCTAGTTCAGTCACTGAAGGTGTGTCTTTTCGCATCTAATACCTGCAGCCCTGGGCTCTGGGCAGAGGCCCTGTGGCACAGCAATCCTGCTTCTGGGGAATTGTGTGTGCAGCAGGGGCTCTGTGGCTCAACATGTTACTTCTGACACCTCTCTTTTCCAAATGGCTATAATCCCCAGCCCTCAATCTTTTTGCTGGTGAACACATATGAAGGATATAACGCATTCTGTTGAAGAACAGTACCTCACCCCAGCATAGTTTGTGACTGGGGAAGTGTGATCAGAACCTGTGTCGGGGGGTATGAGCGACAGAGAGATAAGTAATTTGTAAACACCCTTCGAAAGGATCTGATGTACCCATGTCCCCTGGTCTGGATGTACATTTATATATTTTAAATCAGGACCAAATTACCATTAACTAAAGGCTGATTTACTGATTCTATATAAGCCAAGCCAGTAACACTTCAGTGTTATGTTTTACCTGTATAATAACTCACTTTCTTTTTTTTAAATTCCAAGTCCAACAGGATCATGACCAAAATTTTCTGAGCAGGTGGTTACTAAGAAAGCTGTGGAACTGGCCCAGGCGTAAGCGACCACCCGGCACTTGCTGGGAAATGCCCTGCGTGAAGCAGCAGCTGCCATCACAGCCCTGGGCTCTGTCCTTGGCCTCCTCTATCCAGGTCCGTGACCACAGGGAAGTCCCCTGGACCTTGTGGGAACTAGATCTGAAGCCAGATCTTCAAGATCATCCCAATGTCACCCTTTGTGTGAATGGCTCTGGGCACAGTATGCCAGAAACCCAAGGGAGCCCTGACCCACAGCAGTGGCGCAGCCCCTTCTACCTTGTCTGCCAAGATGGCGAGTGTCCTTTCGAGGCCAGTGGCAGACCTGTCCTTGGCCGCCCTCGAGAGCCGCTCTGCGTAGTAACTCACTTGGGTTTTCAGAGTGTTGATCTGGGCGATAATCTCCTTGGCTCTGATGATGTCCTGTGGTATGTAGACAATGGACTGGCAGCTGGATGATGTACTAAAAAGGGTAGGAACAGATCCTAAGGGGTTCTCTTGAATCGGTGAAGGCAGAAAGACCCTCCCAACCCCTGCCCACAACCAACACAAAATAAAGCACTATCACTCAGGAACATTTTCCTGGACTGGGTGGTGGATGGTGCACAAAAGTAAATCTCAGATCATTTCTATCTGAGTGATAGAAGCTTGAAGCATTGACATACAGTTAAGCTTTCTGTCTATATTTGTCTGCATCTGTCTTTATACCATGCATGTGTGCCTTATGCGCAGGGGTTTTCTTTTTTATTGATTGATTTTAGAGAGAGGAAGGAGGGGAAGAGAGAAAGAAAAAAAAAACCACATCGATTTGTTGTTCTACTTATTTATGTCTTCACTGGTTGCTTCTTGTATGTGCCCTGACTGAAGATCGAACCCACAACCTTGGCTTATCAGGCCGATACTCTAACCAACTGAGCTATCTGGCCAGGGCCTGGTGTGTAGATATTAAATCCAGAAATTATCCAAATGCTCATAGTTTTTCACCTAAGAACCTCACTTGTCAAATTCTAAGAAGGACTAAGTGGAGACATGGGGTCAGTTTATCACAGTGAAGGAGACTTCCATGAGTGCTGGACTCTGCCAAAAGGACCCTCTGTTTTTCCTTTGGGCCTGCCCATGCACATGTCCCCAGCTCTTCGAACCTCTTGCGCATACCTCCCTCCTGTGTCTGACCCCAGCAAATCCTCAGAAAACTGGGCTTTCTTCCCTCCCCCTGCTCCAGAACTTCCCTACTCTGAAAAAAGAACATTCCATCAGTTGAGGAGGTAGAGAACATACCAAGCCAGAGGTCAGGCCTAGATGCCTCAAACCTGGCTCTTGGAAACTTGCTTCTCTCTCCTTCCCTGCCTCCTGGCCACCAAGTAGCGTGTGTATCTGGGATCTGAGATCAATGTTACAGCCCAGCCACTGCCTGGCACAAATGAAGACCAGCCTCTGGAGAACCAGCTCAACATTCCGGCTGTATCTGCCTGGCATGTTTGGCCCTTCAAATGGAGACAATAAATTGCATGTCTCTCAGCTGAGATCCAATCAAGCTAATGTTATAAATTGATTTTTCAGACCATGTAAGCAGAGGGGAACAGAGAGGAGGAGGATAAGGAACCAATGCAGAGGTTGCCCCCACAATTTGAAGTCGTGGGCTCTGGCTGGAGTTGGTGACCCACGTTTCATGGAATAAGGAAACCTGACTAATTCCCTCAGAGCTGCCCTTTGAGTTTGGGGGAAGAGAGTGAAAGTGGAGAGCTGAATCCTCCATCACGTTCCCTGTAGATAGGGGTGATTTGGGCAGGGCTGAGAACCTCCCCCGATGGGCTCTTTCCAGGGTAACCCAAAGGCGAGTCACCAAGAAACCGCCCTGCCCCTTCCCTGTATGAGATAAGGGTTGAACATGCAAAGAGCAAAACCCAAAGCACGCCCAGGAAGAAACCACACGCAAGCCCACACACCACAGTAAAGATGACAGATTGCCAGCAGCCCATGCAGCAGACTGTGCTCGAGCCTGCGTGGTCTGACAAGAGTCAACCACAGCTCCATGTGCGCATGACGCCTTCCAATCTGCAATCACTCTTCCCAATGAATAGCTGCCTATTTAAGACAATTTGGTCTTAAAAATGCCACCTCAAAATAGAATTAAAAAAGCATTTATTCCTCCCAGGTACTTAGAGAGTACATGTAGTGTGTGTGTGTGTGTGTGTGTGTGTGTGTGCATGCAAGCACTTTGTGCAGACACGCATGTGGGTATGCGAGTGGCTATGCATACTTCAACAAACACATACCCCCCACACACCCAAGAAATGCATCAAGCCCACTCACCCTGTCCTTACAGTTCATGTCCTAATAGTGGGAATCTGGGCCTTCTGCACAGGAAGGACACGAGTACACCTCACAGAGCTGCTGTGCAGGGTGAGCACAACTGTACGAGCACGTGTGCCCAACTGCCTAGTCCTAAACACGGGGAAGCTGAAGAGGCGCCGGGCTGGGAGGGGCGTTCCTCGGGTCTGCCTACTGCCCCACGTGCCAGCCTCATGCCTCAGGCAGGGCCCGGCCACAGCCCAAGCCTCAGCAGCTCCAGGAGGGCAGCAACTCCAACGGGCTGAAGGTGCCTCTATGGCCTGTCACCCAAACAAGTGTCACTGCAAAACCCCCATTCTGGCCAGGGCAAGCATGCTAGGCATGACGGGGGGTCCTGCGGCAGTAGTGGGACCCCTAAGTAGCAGACACAATGGTTTCTGGCTGCCATCTACTCTTTGGTGGAAAAGGCACTTGGTTATTGTAATTCTTGGTAAAACTGACAACAGTTAACACTTTAAAAAATATTAATAAACTATTAACTATATGAACATGTAAACTGGCTTCACTGTCACAGGAGGTAATGGTGGAGTGGAGACTGAAACGGCCTGAGATTCTCACAGGAGCCAGAAAGAGATTCCCAGCGCATCAGTGGGTGGGCCTGACGTCCCAGCGCTGGGGACTTGCCGGCCCGGGCTCTCACCCTCCCGGGATAAACAGCACTGGGCCTGTGCTCAGAGTGAGCACAGCACCCTCCACTTAGGGCTTCCAGATTGTAAAGACAAAGCAGCAGACTGGAGACTGGCTATTCATTATCAAAGAACATTGCAGTTGGAAGAACTGTTTACGAGGCCTCAACAAAGAGCCCACAGTGACACCGAGGGTGAAGCACCTCTCAGGGGAGGGGACAGCACAGGCTTTCTCTGCATGAGAGCAAGACCCAGACAGACACTCTCTCCACAGACAGAAAACTCACCAACACTCCTCAAAACTGCTAAAGAAAAGAACCAAAATGAAATATTAGCATCTGTTAGCAAACACCAAATGCAAAACAAAAAATTAAAAAGCCAAGTTATCTTTTGTCAAAATACTTGAATTTGCTTTTTGAAAGACTATTTACTTAGGAGTCCCATGTGCTTATTCATTACAGTGATGCCAGGGCCTGAGCTTACACCCAAGACGACATCCCACCGGTGGGCAAAGTACAGCTGCACCGAAAGGAAAGTTCCAATGATGAAAACCACTCCTACCAGGGGTTTTATGACATTAGTAGGAAATTAAATAAAAATTCATAATGCATATTTCAAAAATACCACAAAGGCCTGTTGGGGATAAGAAATTCTGAAGCTAACAGAATGGTCAGGCATCAGTTTGCCAACCTCTCTGACACGGACAGCCAGGGGGCGCCCCTCTTGGCTGGCCTCTTCCCCCAGGGACCCACACCACCCTCAGACTGCGCACTCTCACTCCACGCAGCCACGTGCAATGGCGTGACAGACACATGATCTCCCCTGGCTGTGCAGAGTTGTCATGGGGACAGGAAGCCTCACAGTTATCACAACGTCCAGAAAAACACCCAAGTCAGACAGTCTTCAGGCTGTGGTCTCTTGGGTATAGTCTGGGCACGAAAAAGCCCTTGGTGGGGATGAGTCAAGATGGAGCAGGCTATGTGGGGCCTCCCAGAGAATGTTCCCCTACCCAAGGCTGGGCCTCCCCTTTCTAGCCAGGCCCTCTCTTGTTCCTCCTTCTCCTGTCTCCAGGACTTACCTGGCTCAGGGCAACCTGTGTTCACATCTGAATGGTGACCCTCACAGCACATTCTTTCACACACCTGTCCCCTCTCCAACCTCGGCTCCATGGTCAGTGACACTCCTAGCTGTACTCCTGACCCCCTCAGACCACTGACCGACCACTGCACCTGACCTTTCATCCATCCATGGTCCAGGCCAAGGTCAGTTTGCTCCAGTCACATCCTGTCCTGACTCCCAGCCACAGCCACACAGAGCCAGACAAGGGTGCCCTGGCTCCAGTGCCTCCTAACACTCTCTGTCTGACCACCTTGTGCAAGTCCTTTGACATTCTCTAGGCCTTTGCTTCACCTTCCCTCAAACTGTTCCATTCCCAGTGATAAGTGTGAACTTTCAGCTCCACATTCTGCAGGTTATTCCAACAAACCTTCAGCTTGCTCCTTCCCACCTCAAAAATCTCTCTGCAACCTCAGCTTCTTCTCATGCCCCTTAATTGCCTGGCCCAGCCTCTTTCCATCTTCTCCAAAACCTGCTCCATTCATGTTCTCCTCTGTCTACCTCATTTGGTTTCGCCTTTCCTTTCAGGCCAAACGCGCTCATGCCATAATCATCCTCCCCAAACCTGAGACCTTCATCCTCTATTTCACTGTCCAAGGATTTTACAGGACCGTCTACACTCGCCACCTCCATTTCTTACATTCACATCCCTTGATCTATTTAATTCTCGACCGGTGACGTTCTGGAAGATGACATCACCTCCTACATGTCCAACTCACCAGCTTGGAGTTACAGATCTTCCCACCTGCCTGCCTCCCTCCATCACTGCTCCATGCTCTGCAACACCCTCTGTGTGCTCGCTCCCTGCCCAAGCTTCTCAGGGCCAGGCCTAGATCTGTCAGCCTGCACCCTGGCACCAGCACACAGCCCCGTACTGAGACTGGCTCTTCCCTCGCTCCTCTCCACAAAGCACTGAAGCATCAGGCCTCCGTGCCTGCAGCCGCGCCTCACTGTGTGCTCTACAGCACCCTTCCCCACCCACTGCCTGCCTCACAGCACCCGACTCAGCACAGTAGAAGCAGGCAGCCCCTTGAGCCTGTTAAAAATTAGAAATGTTTACTCACAGCAGTCTCTCCCGGAGTGCACACTTTGGGACGCTCAACTGACTGACCGGGGACTCTCGAGGACAGCTAAGCTAGCAGTGGACACAGGGCATCCACCAAGAGCACCACTTTCAAGGCAGATTTCACTCTGCAGGGTGGGACTACTGATCAGGCGGCCTCCTCACCCACCCAGCTCAGTCACACACACCAGAGCAGCAAAGGGGCCATGAGGCAGCCTCTCTCACCACGCAAAAGCAGACTGAATGGCTGGATTTTTTTTGTCATATTCTGATTTTTTTTTAACCTAGGAAGCATCAGACAGCTGTACAAGGACCATGAACACCTCCAAGAACTTACTGTTTCTTGGTCTCTTCAAATTTGTGCAGCTTTTTGCGGAGGCCTCCTGACTTAAAACCTTGGCAGTGTGCTGCTGGCGCCCCAATGGTGACGATGTCGTAGCTCTGATCTGAATGACAGAAAGCTCTCCTCTGTTACTCTGGGCTTGGGTCTGTGGACAAGCCAGCTACAGGGATGTGCACACAGCTCTGGGTCCTGACCCTCCACCCAGGCCCAAGCAACCTGTGCTTCCCTTAGTCCCACCACCTGGGCTGTCCAAGGCCCCTGCACGTCCCAGGGCACAGCCGCATGGGGCTGGAGGCAATACTCAGCCTGCATCCCTCCTTCAGAAGGATGACTGATGGGCAGCTTTCTGCCACGGAAACTCAAAGAAGGCTGGATGGAGGAGAAACAAGAGGAAGGGGTTTGTGCTCTTTAATGAAGATTTTACAAAGGTCCTGTGATGTGTCTCTTATCTGAGCTGCCCAGCAGGACACACAAGCAAGGCTGGAACAGATGTGGAGCAGCACAGGGGCCAAGTTCACAGGGAGGACAGAAATGAGATGTGATTCAACAAAAGGGGCAGAAGAAGCGTTACCTGATCCTCCATCGTCCTGAACTCTCATCCTTTGTATGTGCAAGTTTGTGGGAACAAATTCCAACTTTTTATCTGCTTTCAGACTGCTTGCTTTAAATGAGGGACCTAAGAAACAGAATATTAGAGAACAGAGGTCACCGACCCGTATCCCACATTCAGGAATGGCAAGTAGAAAAGGGGTAGTTTGTGGTGCTGCTCAGAAGGCAGGGATGTGCTGGTCGTGGCCGAGGCAATTCTGAGTCGCCTGTAAGTACGTTTCACTTCCAGAGAGTGGCTGGATGAAACACTGAGCAGCGACAGCTTCATGGCTGGGAGGCTGCTCCTGGGTGCTCGGGTGGTGAATGGCACCAGGAGAAGCTGCGTCAGAAGGCAATGGAGACAATGCCTGCCCACCCACGACTCAGCTCTGAACTGAGAGCTGTGACCAAAGCAGCACGTCTCGATTCTGAAAAACGCTGAAAAGGTCTGTTCACCACCCCAGTTCTATCAAGATGAACAGATGCGAGACAGCTTTAATTACGTCCCCCTGCTTGGGTGGTTAAGGAGGCTGGATGATGTTTTGTAACAAATGTCCACAATCTCATTTTATGGTCAGAATCCGTAACTAATTGAGGAACTCCATGCCTAGAAAAGAAACGGATTGTAAATTATACGGACAATCAGAAGGGCAGAAGGAAAAAATGCTGCAGCTTGTGAAGGAAGGCGAATTTATTCTGCCAGTGTACAAAATACAGACCAACCGCTGTCTATTCCACATTTTGCCACAAGAGATTGTTCGCTGGACACCAGCAGCCTGGGAGCCTGTTAGAACTGCAGAATCCCATATCTGCCATTAACAAGACTCTCTGGGTATTTGACACACTGACATCTGAAAAGCTCTGTTCTAGAAAACTCAAGGTTGTGTGGGTATCAAGACTTTCCCAGGTAACAGGCATCCAACATGGGCAGGACACTGATTTGTTCCTTCAGACAAATGCTGCCACTTTTCTTAGAAATACACTTAGATCTGTTCTTCAGGTTCAGAGCAAACCTGGGGCCCTATTGTCTTGTCATCATCCCTGTATCTGGCTTCTTCTCAGCCAAGTTCATATGTCCATACAGTCTGTGTCAAAACTACATTAAGGGCTTATGATTTTCTTTCAACCCTAAAATTCCAATAATGAATAGGAGGAAGGAAGAATCTAAAGACAGAGAATAAAATAATGAGAAGCCAAAAAATTATTCTATTTGGAATAAAAAGGAAATAAGAAGAGTCTTTTAATCTTCCTTGAAAGTGTTTTGGAAATCAAATAGCATCTTTCAAGAAAAGGTGAGGTATCTGGACTTCACTCTCCTTTTGGGCCTTAAAATGAAGAGTTCCACTCAATTTTTACATCTGACATGAGTACCACTCTACGTGTAAACTAAGAAATCTAGAAAACTGCTCTGTCTGACGGCAAACAGCCTACATCATTTTGGGCATCTCGCTGACATCAGACCCAGATGCAGGAAGAACGTGAACCAACAGCCTGTAACTTTGTCTCTCCTAATGTTCATCCCACAGCGGTCGCTTTGGCAGATGACACCTTGGAAGGAATTTTCAATGCAATTCACAGATTTGTCTTTTTAATTAAGATCTAAAAAATCTAAATATTAAAGAATTCACACCTACATGAGAATCTATTTTTAAAAATCCATTAGTGTCTGTCAGTGAGAATACCTGAGCAATTTCAGGTTCCAGATTTGCAGGTGGGAAAATGGAGAGTGTGCCAAGATGAAGACGGGACCTGGTACCTACCTTTGTACTGATGAAGGTCAGTCAGGTTCTCCTGGTACGTGAGGATGATGGTCTGGTACTGAGTGACGATCTGGCGCCGCAGGCTCTCCCAGCAAGGGGACAGCTCCCCCAGCTCTTCCAGTTCACACACTCTGCAAGCAAGACACGCCCATCATGCCATGGAGCCTGCTCACTTCCCTGGAGAGGCACAGAGACCAACCCAGAGAACAAAGTATACACGGAAGTGTCGCCAGTGCCAGGGAGGCCCAGGCGACATGGCCAGCAGGGTTCGTGACAGACCCTCCGGAAGGAAGGGCTGCATGGAAGGAAGAGCACTGACCACATGGCAAGTGCACAGAGAAGCTTTTTATAGGAACTTAGTCAAATGTTTGAGGCAAACTAAGTGGAAGAGTGAGAGGAGAGCAGCTCCACTATGGCCCCAACACGCTGGCTCATTTCACAGCCCACACAGGCAAAGGTTGAGCTGCAGCCCGTCTGGGTCCGGGCAGAAGAGAACGACCTGTGGTCCTCCCCAGACACGAGAGGATGGGGGCCATGAGCCACTGCCCTGATCTGTTACCTCCGCAAAAACAAAAGCTGTATAAGAACTGAAATATAAATTTCTTACCTCAGAGATAACTAATAGCTACATAATCAGAATAACAAAACACAAGATGGATTTTGGGGGGAAAAAGGATAACCATTCCAGAAAACTAGGGAGCAGGAAAGTAAAAAGGCCAAAACACATGGCACACGTGAGCCAGACTGTCTTGCCAGATGGCCCTTCTCTCTGGATGTCTCCCGTGCTTCATGTGGCTGCTTCTTGTTTCTGGTGTCAGTTTAATGCCATCATCTCCCAGAGGCCACTCACACCACCTTCCTCTGACAGCCTCCCTTTACTTTCCGCTGGCACATCTGGGGCTCTGTGTGTAGCCCAAGACACGCTCTGTTGCCTATTAGTGAATGTCCCCCCTAGTCCGTCCCACTCATCAAGAAGCCTCTGCACTGAGCACAGCGCCCACCTCACAGGATGGAAAGCAACACAACCCTCAAAAGCAAAATGCTTGTTAAATGAACACAACCTTTAAAGTTACAGTACATACAAGTCCATACCTAGTACAAGTAATGGGAGACTGTGCCCTAACTAGATATAAAAAGAAAAGAGAAGATATGCAGTAGCCAGGTACACAGATATAAATGCAAAAAGCTAAAAGAAAAAATTAAAAAATTAAAGGACATATAAAATATGTACAAATACAAAGAAAAACAGCTCTGCATTTCTTGCCATTTTTCTTTCAGTCTCAATATTTTAAGATAAAAATTTAAAACTAAATAGCTGTATTAAAACAGTCAGATTCTGGCTGTACTGTCTTCTTCACGCGTCTGTCATATTGTTCATAATTCACATTTCAGGACAAGGAGCAGCACTGGCAGCGTAGGGCAGAGGGGGGACGGAGCTTGCAGGGCCTGAACCACCTCACAGGCTTCTCCCTGCCTTGGGAACAATGGCATTCGCTCTGAGCTGGAAGGTGCTCCAATGGGTCCTACTTGACCTTCTGGAGCCCATATTCCTGTGGCTTTGGCCAAAGAGACTGCTGACCCAGGCAGCCCTAATCAAAGAACAAGCAGCTATTTTTAACTTTCTGAGGCCAAATGAGAGGTGAAAGGAGAGGGGAAGAGTGCATGTACCAAGTTCTGGGCACACATCTGGTCCTCCAGGCACATCCCCCTGTGAAGTCCTCACAAGAAACCCCAGGATACAGATGAGCAAACTGAGGCTTTGGAAGCCCAAGCCACACAGCAGGCAAGTGGCAGAGGCTGGGTTTGCCGTCTGGCCTATCTGGTGCCAGTGCTCTGTCCACCACACAAATTTAAGAGCTTTCCAGAAAAAAAAAAGGGCACGTGACATGGGTGTGGCAGGTGGTCAGCCTCTCCACTTGGCCTCACCTGGCCGCATCTTCTTCCAGCAGCAGCTTCACGAACTGCCGGGGCACGTGTAGGGAGAGCACACTCTCTGCCATCTGCTCCAGGATCCGCAGGTGGTTGCCATCGGTGGTGGGAAAGCGGTACATGCGGCAGATGGCACCGCCGAACACTGAGGTGTGAGAGACAGAGGCTGTGTGGGAGCAGGCCACAGACCCGTGCCAGGTCCTCCCCCGGGCCCTCAATGGTGCTGACACACTCAGCCTTCTTCCTAGTCATCTCAAGGGAATTAAACGTTTCAACCAAAAACCCACCAGGTGATTGAGCCTCAATGCTCTTCCCCTAAGATATGCAATCTTCTTATCCTGGAATGTGTAACTAAGTCCTAAGTGTAAGGGCTGGGACAGTGAGGCTGGCAGTCACTAAACCCAATGCAAAACAAGACAGTGAGGTGAAGGAGCACACCCCTTCCTGGGAGTACTGTCAACTCTTTCTATGCTGGCAAAACAAACATGGCAGAGAAGAGACCATTGGGGGCACAGTCATGGCAATCACAATAGGTGGGTTGGAAAGGGTGGCCCAAGTGGACACTCTTGAAAGTGGCCTGAGTACCAGTGGAGGAAGCTGTTTACCAGATTTCAGTAAAGTATCTTTTCTCAATGAAGCATATTTGGATCGTATTCCCAGTGCTTCGGTCAGGCTCTCATCAACGGGCAGGACCATCTGGTGACGTGTATAGAAAAGCACAAGAAAATCATGACTCAGATGAGCACAAAGCACTCAGGAAAAATGGTGGCCTACAGACGTCATGGAAAAATGCGTAGGATTAAGGCCCACCATCAGCACTACAATAAATATGAGGGGGGACCGAAAAACCCACAATTTATTTACAAAGAATTGTGTGCTCCTTCTGATGGAGGGAGGAAGGGGTGTGCTCACCCTCCCATTGACGGTGTCCAGAGACCGGGTCACTGGAGGCCGCTGGTCTGACTTCTCCTCCATCTGCCAGCCAATGACTGTGATGTTACCAACACGGTCACTCTCTGCAGACCTGCAACAAGCAATGTGCTTTGGGAAGTGGTGGCATTGAATGTGCTTGATTTTCTGCTTAAATCTCAGCAATCCTAGGTCACCAAGGGGCTCAGGCCATGCCAAGACCTGACCAGCTGGTCAGTCAGGCAGCATTCACTGCATGCCCAGACTCCAGCGGCAGCAGACAGGAAACCATGGGGACCCGGAAGAAGGGACAAAGCTCACAGAGAAGTGTGAGCATGCCTGGTGAGCATGCCTGGTGAGCACGCACTGGCCAAGGGGAGGGGCCAGTGCTTGCTCCCTCAGGCTGACCCCTGCCCCACATCTCAGAATCGGGATTGGAGGGTACTTTCTTCTGGCAGCTGACCCCTTTCTGCTCCTTCCCACCTGCCCTCAAGCTTTGATTTGCCCGAGGCCTAGGCCTGCACCCCAAGTCAGCTGAGGTCACCCAGGGCTTCCCAAAGCCTCTGAACCCTGACACAATACAGCCGATGCCAGTCCAGCCCTGGTCAGCTTTACCCCTAAGAGCCCTTGGGGGGCTGTGGCTGCCCAGGCCCACTGACTCCTCCAGGGAAGCCCCAGGCTTTTTATTTAAGAGAACTGATTTGGCCAGTTCTAATTTTCATGTGGTCACCGCTACTGCCCATTTCCTTTCCTATTTTCCGTCATTGTTCTCACGCCCAGAAAAGTCCTTTTCCCCACGCTATCCCAATGGTCACCTTCAGCTTTTTTAAAAAAGGATAGTGCCCAATATTTACATGTAACTCCAATCCAACCAGAATTACTTCTGGTAGATGATGTACCTGGATATTTTTCTCCAAGAGCCCTTTCCCCTACACGACCCTCCCGTTTTCCCCAAGGCTCTTCCACTACCCTGAGTCAGGTTCTCGGTCCACACCAAGAGCGTCTGCAGGGCTCTGCCCACCCAGTGCCTGCGGCACTCCCATCACCAAGCTGCAAAGTATTGCACCATCCAGCTGGGAATGCATCCTCTTTCTCAAAAGTTTCTTTGCTATTTTGGACCATTTTCCCACTTCTCACATTATTTGGAAAACAATAACACCAGTCAGGGTTTGGGTGGAAGTTGCTCCTGAAATGCACTTGGGAAGGTTTTCTATCTTGACATCTTTCACCCTCCTTCCAGGGACACAGTGGGGGTTCCCCTCACACATACTTATTGGGCCCCAGGCATTATTTTATGTGCTTAGGGTACAGCAATGAAGCAAAAAGACAAAATCACTCTCTGGGAGCTGACGTTCTATTGGGCAGGAGGCAGATACTATACAAACACATTTGGTTAATAGACATGTGCCTAGGTTTTCCTTCAGGTCTGAGCCAGCGGTGCTCGTTTTTCCTATGCAGGCCACAGGCACCCTCCCCCAGCAGGCCTCCCGACAGGCTGAGGCTCCAGTTTGCTTCAGTGAACAACCACTCCCTGCTAAGACCAGACTCAGGGAGAGGCCAGGAAATTGGCCCTTCCCCATCAGTCCCTGGACCTCGTAACTTCACAACCTTTAAAAGGAACAAAATTAAATACCAACCTTAGTGTTAAATGCAACCGATGATGCCTGTCTTGGAGCAGGTCCTTGACAATGAATGTCCCAGAGCCCAGTAAGTACATCTGAGGAAGAGAGAAAAAGGCAGCCTGAATCTGCCTGCTCTGCCTCTGCTCCAGTGGCCGGGCCCACCACACCTCTGACCCTCACTGCAGGGGCCCACAGGGGTGCGCGGACAAAGCCGTATGGGCAGCAGTTAATGTGTGAGCCAGAAGTGAAGGCAATCTCACGCTCACCTCTCACTGAGATGATCACAGCACTTTAAACAGGGAAGAAAACCCTATGAACCCCATGTTACTTAACTGTTCCCTGAGATCTGTCTTTGACGTCATACACAGATAGTTTGATTTGTGTCATCTGATTGATAAGGGAGTCTTGGAAAAAGGCAATACTGCTTAAAAATATAGGATTGTTGGTTCCCTAGAATGGAAAAGAAAATCATCAGAACATGGAGTTAAATTTTTAAAGTAATTGCTCTTGACATACAGCAACATTTTCAGAACAAGAAATTAACAACCCTACCAACATGGATCAACACAAATGCTCATGGAGGCTTCAATGGCTGCAGAGAAACAAAACCCTGCTTTTCAAGAAGGATGAAGGAGCCCAGCAGACTGTTACTGGTCCAGACGCAGGGAATGGGTTGCCACAAAGCTGTGCCCAGAGCTTGCTCTAAAGGCTTCTCCTTAACACGAGGGATTTTATAAAATGGAAACAGGTTGCCCATCCATGTGTTGTTCAACTTTAGATGAGTGATATGATTGGATCTACTGCTTTGGGCTGTTCCTGTAAGATGTGCCAAGGCAGACAGAGGAAATGAATGACTTAAATCGTTTCTTATTTCTAGAATCCTGTGGGGTTTGGAACAATTAACGTCTGACCTTTTAAAGACTATCCCTTTTTTGAGGACTAGCTATTAGTTTCTAGATCATAAGGTGCTATTTTTTGGCAGCATAGCCTCATCCTCTCAAGCCCCATGCTATGAAGTTCTCTTTCTCAGGCAGTGGTCATTATCTCAGCCAAATGGTTAGCAGTTCCATGTGTACTTGTGTGGTGGGGTCCGTGTCTCTGGCTGTGTGCCCTCTGCAGCTCCAGACCCAGTCTCTCAGTCTGTGGGACAGTCCTCCCTGCCTCCCTCCAACCGCCCCTGGCTAACCATCTCTGACTCCCCCTCCAAGGAGGCTACGAACTCGGGCATCTGCTTTGGTGCCTCCTCCTCATCATTCTCAACCACCCAGTGACAATGAACTCTTCCACAAATCCTCTCTCACACGTGCCCCTTCTTGCCCCTCCTTTCCAGTGCAATAAAGTGGCAAGTCCCACTCCTACACAACAGTCTCAGTCTGGTCAGGTGACCCTTGCATAATAGCCTACGCTGGCCAGCTGCAAACAAACTCTCGGCCTGATGTTCAAGATGTCCCCCTTGACTTCCACCTGTGCCTTTTGCACATACCAAACTGGCTAAAGTTACTGTATTTCGCCATGTATAGTGTGTATTTTTTTACCCAAATTTTTGAAGTAACAATAAGGATGCACATTATACATGGGTAGTATGAATTCCATACTTATATAAATGTTTTTGGTCCTTTTATTTATGCTTAGGCATTAAAAGTATAACTCTAGGAAACAATAATGATACCCATATGCAAATTTCTTGTACCTTGTATCTGTTCTTGTGTTTTGTAATTATTTGTCACATAAAGTTTCTTGTACCATAATATGTTCAAATGCCAAAATTTCTTGATAATATAAAAAACAAGTATCTAAATATAACTAACTAAATAAATAATTGAATTAAAAAATTAAAATGAAAGATTTTTTTTCCTGAAAGTTTGGGCCCAAAATGCGGGTGCACATTATACACAGAGCGCATTACACATGGCAAAAATATGGTATTCTCTAAGCCACCCGATGCTCCCTCATCGCTGGGCCTTTGCATCATTACCACAGAAATCTGCATTGCTCTTGAACATGTGGTCCCTCAACTGGCAGAAGGCCAATACCTGGAGTCTGTGGGAAAGGGAGTCCTGGGCCCCACCCCAGATCTATGGAGTCAGAACTGCATGAAGGGACTGTAGGAAGCCACCTCCGATCCTCAGAGCTGCCTGGGAACCCGTCCTCCGGCTGCTACCCGCATCTCTAACACCCCCCACACACATTCTGCTGGGTATAGATGTGGAAACATTCATTTCTGCCTCCCCAACCACAGGGCTGTGTACTTCTTGGGGGCAGGAGGTGGGGCTCAACAGTCTCTGTATCACCCTCAGCACCCAGACTGTGCTTCATGGGTGGGTGGTGCTCAAAAAAGGCTTAGAAAACAGATTGTTGACTTGAACTTGGAATTAAGCTGACAAGACACTGAAAAGGTCTATCTTCCAAAATGCGAAGTTAGGGATGAAGAGGAAGTGCAGCGGGAGTCTGCTGGAGCCTACCAGGGAGCAGATAATTTGCACAGGACCGCACGGAGTCAACCGAAGTCTAGAGAATCTCACACCAGCAACTGCTACACTTAGTTTCACGACTTACACAATGTGCTCAATTACTGAAAGGCTTTTGTAAAATTCCCAAGGTGAATGCATATTATTTGATGTAAAAAGTAAATATATAACATGCAACTAAAAAGGATGTAAAAATAAAAATCAATAAAAATAGAGATATGTCCAGTAAGGGGTTGGTTAAGAGTTACTCTCCAAACTTTGACTAATGAACACAATTCTCCAAAAGAAGCAGCCAACGGAAGGAGACAAGGAAGAATTGGATCTTACCTCTTAAAAGGTAATCAACCTTATGACGTCAATGTTCAAAAATAACCAGCCAGTAGCTAAGCAATAATTGTAAAGGATATGGCAAATAAAAATGCCATCCAGAAGAGTGTGATGGAAAAATATCAATTACTAAAAAGGCATGGAAAATAGTAACAATTCACACAGCCATAGGACAGCTCAGGTGCTCAGGCTGCTCAGCAGCCCTCCCGCTGCAGCGGCAAACACGAGGAGCCTCAGGGCCAGCAGCACCCACCTCGATGATCTCCGTCTGAGCATGCTTCGTCCAGAACGCCTGAGGAGGGGTGGTCACACTCACTGCTACAAAACTGTTTGGTTTCCGATCTAGCGATGGCGTGTGCAGCTCGCTGCAGGCTATGGAATCAAGATGGGGGGGAAAACGAATCCTTTACTAACAGGAACTGAGGCTCTAGTTGAATCTTGGTTCCATATGCACTCAAAGAGCAAAAAAGTACACAGCACTCAAAGGGATTAGACAATTACATTGTCAGCTGTGGCAGGGAGTTGATTTTTTAAATTGGAAACAACCTCTTCCCATTCCTCCCCTCCTCCCCCCACAGCCATGACAGCAGTGCCCTAAGTGCTGGGGAAGACTGAGCCAAAGGGGGTGTCTACGTCCATGGAACGGAGCCTGGAGCCCCCGATCTCATATGGTGTCGGACGACCATAGAGTCTGACCTTTGCAAACTTCCAACCAACTGAGCTAAGCAGAGCCAGTGCCTGAAATCACAGTACAGCTGCTCGTGCCTGCACCCGCGGTGCCATGCTGGCCCTAAGCCTGTGCTGCCCACAGTCTCTGTGGGTTGTACACTGGGAGCAAATTAAAGTTCTTTGGCAAAGTAAAAAAAACTTTTGTAAAAATTTAGCCATTGCTTATTGATTATCCTTATAAGACTCATATCAAATGAAAGATTACTAAAAATGTCACTTTTTAGAAGTAGAATTGTTCCATTAAAAAAATTATTGTACTAATAGCATTTTGAAATAGATTGTGAGACTCACTGAATTCCACCATGGAAGTGACCTACAGGAAAACAGTCCTATTTCATTGAACCTAACATGCTATCTGTTAAAAAAACACACTACGGAAGAAAAAAATGACCCACTGCCTTTAAACTATGCTACTGATTGTGAGACACTTTTTTATTACGGAGATATTACGATATAAAAAACTGATTAAATATACAGTAAATCAAAGTTCATCATGAGTAGAAACAGCTAGCCCTTTTGGAGGACAGCCGATGCTCCCAGAGTGCTGCCAGCTCTACTTAGTTTCCAGGGCTCAGAAAAAACTGACTCCGACCATTTCTGCCAGTGTGCTCTTCACCTTTATGGACGGAAAATTTCAGGAGCTTCTTACTCTGTCATTCCTGCCCCCATCATTCCCATCTGACTTTTAAAATGGTCACTGGTGACTTAACATTCAGAAATTGATTTTTACTTCTGAAAATTTTGGTCCTCTGATTATCCTCTCTATAGTATCTGCTCATGTATTTTGAGTTTTTATCATTTATTGGATATAATAAAATATAAAGAGCTTAGCTTTTTAGTTCAATGCATTCTGACAATCACATATACCCATGTAACCACCATCAAAGCAAGGCAGAAAACTTTTTCCATCAGACTAGAAAGTTCCCTCTGTATTGCCAGTCACCTCCCCACCTCTGCAACCACTTTCTGACTTCCATCACTTCAGTCTAGTCTTGAATTGCATATAAATTCAATGTTTTGAGATTCACCTACATTGTTATATATATTGATAATTCACTTTCTTCTAAACTGATGAGTTATATTCCATTGCATAAATGTACCAAGAAAAATTTTTATGCATTCTGTTAATGGACTTCTGAGTTTTTTCATGTTGAACCATTATAAATAAAGGTGCTAATAACATTCTTGTCCATTTCTTTTCGTGAATTTCCATTTTCATTTCTCTTGCAGAAGCACCCGAGAGTGACATTTCTAGGTTACAGCAGAGGATATGCCTCATTTCATAAACTAACAGTTTCCTAATGTGGTTGCACTACTTCCCGACACCATCAGCAATGTGCATCAATTCAGTTGCTCTCCATCCCCACCAACAGGGGGGCAGGTTAGGGCCTATTTTAGTCGTCCTAATGGATGTGTTTTAATTTGCACTTCTGCAAGGTTAAGCATCTTTTCACCACACGGTTATTGTTTATTTTTAAAACTTCTTCTGTCAAGAGCTTAATCGTGTCTTTTGCTGATTTTTAAATTGGATTGTTGACTTTTTAACCATTGATCTGTAAGCATTTTATTTTAGATCTGTTCTTTCGACAGGCGTATGTGTTGTGGATATCTCTTTCCCAGTCTGTGATTTATCTAGTCATTTTCTTAAAAATTTTTAAGTTATTTTATTTTAGATTTTTAATTTTAGGAAGTGGTAGGCAGAAAAATGTCCCTCCCCCCCTAAACTATCCATATCCTAGTCCCTGAAACCTGTGAATTTTTTTATTATTTTATTTTTTAATCCACACCCAAGGGCAAGCTTATTAATTTTAGAGAGAAGGAAAAGGAGGGAGATAGAAAGGGAGAGAAACATCAGTATAAGAGAGAAGCACTAACCAATTACCTCTCACATGGGTCCCAACTGGGCCCGACCTGCAGCTTAGGCATGCGCCCTGACTGGGAATCAAACCCATAAAGTTTGGGTTTATGGGACACAGACAAAAATAACTCCATAGGTATGACTAAAGTCTTGGAATCTTGACATGAGGAGATTATTCTGGATTATCTGAGTGGTCTTAATCTAATCACATGAGTTCTTAAAAGTAGGAGAGGAAGGTAGACTTAGAAAGAGGTGAGCATGGAAAAAGAGGTGAGTTTCAAAGTGCAAAAGGCACTGGACTCGGACTGGCTGTTGCTGGCTCTGCAGGTGGAGAAAGGGCCCAGAAGCCAAGAAAAGTGAGGGGCCTTTATGAACTGAGAACCAGTCTCAATTGGTTGCTGGCAGAGAAATGGGGACCACAGTCCTAAAACCATAAGGAACTAAAGTTTGCCCACAATCAGAACCAGCAAGGAAACAGGTTTTCCCTGAGGCCCCAGAAAGGAACACAGCCTGGCTAATACTTCAGTTTCGGTGCGATAAGACTCTAAGCAGGGACTCAGTGGAGCGCATTGGACTTTTGACATAGGGAACTGTAAAGATAATAAATTTGTGTTGTTTTAAGGTGCTAAATTTATAGTAATTTGTTATGGCAGCAATAGCAAACTAAAGCACAGTTAGTGCTTTTTGCGTTCTATGAAACCTTTGACTATCCTGAGGTTGTAAGTTATATTCTTTGTTCACTTCTAGAACATTTTATTGTGATTTATTTTATGATTTTATTTTACAAAGTTCTCTATTTTTTCTATTATGTCTACCTCAACAGGAACTGGGGATTTGACTCTTCTGCCTTCTCTCTGACTTTTATGCTATGCCCTTAAATGACCCCTGGTCTGGTCTCTCTGGACATGCCCTTTCATCATGTGCGGGTTCTTAACGCCCATGCAAGGCTGGAGTATTTGGGCCTTTCAAGCACAAGCGAAGGCAGACAGACTGAGGAATAACAGGTGGCCAAAGGATGGGAAGATTAATATTAGTTTAAGGCTGATGGGTTAAATGCCACTTTCAGAACACATCTTCCTATAGGTGACATTCTCTCCTGGCCTCGCCCCCAACCCAGCCTACCGAAACCTCATTAAATGTTTAAGTCCTAGCTCAAAGTTCAACAAAGCTCTTTAATAGCTGAAAGAAGTTGCCTTCTTTCTACCTTCTCATTTGACTGGCAGTCTAGTTGAGTGCGGCATTCTAGGTTGGAAATGTTTTCCCTCCCATATTAGAAGTGCTGCCCTTCTGCCTTCAAGTTTCTAATGTCACTGAGAGTCTCCCCAAGGACCAGTTTCATCCCTGATCCTTGGATATGACCATTTTTTTCCCTTTCTGGAAGTTTTTAGAGTCTTGATTTTATTATCCATGCTCTGAAATTCCAGCTTAATGTGACATGCTAATTCTGTTTCAATATGCTGGGCCTGGTGGACATTTTTAACCTAGAAATACATTCTTCAGTCCTGAAAGACCCCTGGTAGTATTTGTAGATAATTTCCTCCCTTACTTTTTTTTAAGTATATTTCATTGAATATGCTGTTACAAAGTTATCCCAGTTTCCCCCCTTTGCCCCTGTTGTGGACCGCTCTGCATGGTTCTAGCACTGTAACTCTACCCACTGTGGCAAAGGGCGAGGGACGACCTTTGGAATTCAATTCGAGCCACAGGAGACAAAGCTTGTCTCAGGTAGCAAATGCTGCCTCAGTTTCCTCTCCCTGCCCCCAAAGCTTAGTCAGAAGTCAATGACGGGTAAGACCCCTCACAGCAGGGGGCAACCTAGCCAGTCTTTATCATCTGGAAGGCCTTCATGGAAGGACTGGGGGGGGGCGGTGCAACAAAGAGGGAGTAATGGACTCTCGCCGCCCCTCTGGGCTGTGACAAAGCCCCGGTCCCCATGTTCTCTGGGAGAAGTGCTTCCTGGCTCTAATCCCCTTGAGTCTGAATACCTGTTGGGGAGAGGTGCAGCTCCTTGTCTTGCTGGAGCGTGTCCTGGGGGAAAATTTGGCATCACAAAGACTTCCTGATAAACCTGTGAAATCTGCTCTGCTAAGAGTGCTTTCATTCATATGTTAAGGGTTCAAGCAGGAAACCCTAAAAACTCTCTTCCTGACAGACTCTGACTCAGACTAAGCTCTCAGATTTTTTTGAAATGTTATCTACTGTTTGATCCTTGCTGCCCTGAATTCCTGAGTATTACAACCCAATAAAAGCCCATGTAGGAGAGAGCTCAATGTCTTTTTCCCCTGAAAAACTGGCCACTGCTAATGGCCTTTTTCCTCTGGGAAAATGGCCACTTCTCCTCCCCAAACAAATCACATCATATCTCTGTCATGTTTACTTTCATCTGTGGCTGCTGGAGGAACTTGGAAGGAAAGTCACCCAAACATGCCCCCACTGCCTAGATCCCCCGTTCCCTCCAGCCATACCCTCTCCCCTTAGTTCATGTCCATGGGTTATGCATGTAAGTTCAGTTGCTCCATTACCTATACTGTTCTTTACATCCCCTGTCTCTTCTGTACCTGCCCAATATGCTTCTGAATCCCTGCACCTTTTACCCCGTTCTCCCCCTTCCACCTCCCGGCTGATAACCCTCCAAATGATCTCACTACCTATGATTCTATTCCTGTTCTAGTTGTTTGCTTAGTTTGTTTTGTTTTTTAAATTCAGTTGTTGATAGTTGTGTTTGTTGTCATTTTAATGTTCATAGTTTTGATCTTCTTCCTTTTCATAAATAAGTCCATTTAACATTTCATGTAAGAGCGTGGTGACGATAAACTCCTTTTGCTTTACCTTGTTGGGAAGCAGCACTTCATCTGCCCTTCCATTCTAAGTGAAAGCTTTGCTGGATAGAGCAATCTTGGTTGTAGGTCCTTGCTTTTCATCCATTTGAATACTTCTTGCCAGTCCCTTCTTGCTTGTAAAGTTACTTTTCAGAAATCAGCTGATAGTCTCATGGGAACTCCTTTGTAGGTAACTCTCTGCCTTTCTCTTGCTGCTTTTAAGATTCTTTATCTTTAATCTTTGACATTTTAATTATGATGTGCCTTGGTGTTGATTTCTTTGGGTCCAACTTATTTGGGACTTTCTGTGCTTCCTGGACTTGTATGTTTATTTTCTTTGCCAAATTAGGGAAGTTTTCTGTCATTATTTTCTCAAATAAGTTTTTAATTTCTTGCTCCTCTTCTCCTTCTGGCATCCTTATGATTCAGATGTTGGCCCTTTTGGAGATGTCCCAGAGTCTTCTTAAACTCTCCTTGTTTTTTGTTTTTTGGGTTTTCTATTTTATTTTTTTAGGTTTTTATTTATTTATCTTTAGAGGGGAAGAGAAGGAGAGAGGGAGAGAAATATCAATTTATGGTTGCTTCTCGTGCATCCCCTACTGAGAACTGGCCTGCACGCCAGACATGTGCCCTGACTGGGAATCGAACCACGATCCTTTAGTTCACTTGCCCGCATTCAGTCCACTGAGCTACACCAGCCAGGGCTCTCTTTGTTTTGTTTTTTGTTTTTTGTTTTTGAATTCTTGTTTCTTCATTTTGTTCTGGTTGGTTTATTTCTTCCTTATGTTCCAAATCATTGATTTGAATCCTGACTTTCTTCCCTCCACTGTTGGTTTCCTGTGGATTTTTCTTTATTTCCCTCAGTAGAGCTTTCATTTCTTCCTTATGCTTCTGCCATATTCAATGAGATCTTTGGGCATTCTGACCACCAGTGCTTTGAACTCTGCATCTGATAGTTCAGCTATCTCCACATCTCTTAGTTCTTTTTCTGGGGTTCTGTTCTTTTCCTTCGTTTGGGTCATATTTCTTTGTCTCCTGATTTTGGCAGCCTCCTTGTGTCTGTACACTAGGTAGAGCCACTCTGATTCCACTTTTGAGCACCTCTTAAGTCGTAAGTGGCAGAGCTTCAAATATTCGGCAGGGTGGGGCAACTTTGGCTCCGTGTGTGGGGGAGGGGTCGAAGAGGGGGCAATGCCGCTGCTGGCTGACTTCTGGGGGCTTGCCTGGCCCTTGCTCTGTTTCTAGTCACTTCATTCACTTCTTGTGTGCAAATGGCTCCCCTTCAACTGCTGTCCTGGTTGTGGTTCCCAGGGTGTGTGTGTTTGTGTATGTTCAGGACTCTCTGGCAATGTCTTCTGCCACCCCAAACCCCACTGAGTTTACAGCCAGAAGTTATGTAGCATTATTTTTCCTGCACTGAAGCCCAGGGCTACATGGTCTGGTCTGGGGCTGGGCTCCTTCGCTCACAAGGTGTCCCCCTGATTTTTAACCACCACATGTGACTGAGGAGCTGCCTGTTCTGCTGGCCTCCGTTGCATCACTGCCTCGCTGCTTCTCTGCCTCTCCACACCCTGCTGGCCGCCCACACCAAGCCCTCTCCAACCCGACTCCCCATCTCCTCCCCTCCTACCCATCTGGATGAATTTGGCTTCTTTAAAACTTGGCTGTCTGACTTCCATACAGTTTTTGGTGTTTTTCTGGGTGTTTTTTATTTTTAAGTTAGTTGCAGTCTTTCTTATGGCTGTGCAATGAGGTGAGGGTGTGTCTACCTTTGCCTTCACCTTGACCGGAAGCTCCCCTTACATTCTTTCCTATTTTCTCTTCTAAGTGTTGGTCATCCCAAATTTGCTTTGTAATTTTCCATTTTAATTTTTCTCCCATTTTATGGGAGAAACCTTTACTGAATTTTTAAATACTTTCTATCCTTTTTTAAATTTCTATAATTATCCATATTTTTGAACTGTTCTCTTTTTCTTTTGAGTAACCTGTTCTTGTTGGATGGATACACTATCCTCTCAAAACTATAAGTTATAACATATATAATATATAAATATAATTTTATGTATAAAATATGCACTAAATATATTTATGTAAATATATAATTTGTATACAACCCACATGTCCATCAGCAGGAGAATAAACTGTGGCTTATATACGTGGTGGGAAAACACTCAACAAGGGAGGCATGAGCTACTGCTCTACGAAATCAAATGTCCAGCAAGGTCAAGCACAGGCTGAAGGCTGAGCAGCATGTTTGCGGCACAGCATGAACTAGATTCCGGGTCATCTGACTCCCCAGGAGGAACTTCTTTTATGTCACATAACCTCTTGGACACCACTGCCAGGTCACTGACCAATGCTGACCACCACCAGGGGATGAGGAAAAGGGAGAGGACACCAGAGAGCACTGACTCCAAAGAAGACGCATCTGAGCTGACCGTACCTTGCTCTCCAACCTCCTGGATAAGCCACTGTAATGCCATACTGGCCTGATCCTGAAGCTGACTCATTCTACTAATTTTAGTCCACTCTCTCAACGATGTTCTCTGAGAAGACGAGTATGCAGGTGTCACCACCTCTGTTCACTGAGTAGGAAATGAGGGCAACAAAGCTAACCTCAATCACACGAGGCCTCATGGCCAGGGTGGCACAGCTGGCCCTAAGCCCCACCTTCTGACCCCTCCTGGGTCTTCCTGGAGGGGCAGGAGGAGGGGAGGAGAGGCTGTCTCTGCAGCTCTGAGTGAGCTCACCACCTCCGGCCCCGCAGGCCTACAGTCCCCAGCGCCCCCCACCCCAGAAGTGCACACCAGCAGCCTCTGGCTTCATCTTCCCAGAGACACTTCAGCAGCAGTGGCGGCAGCAGCAAGTTCTCTAAGACAAACGTGAGGTAGCAGTTGTGTTTTGTTTTTGAACAACATATATTTTAAAACAAAAAGAAATTTAAAAGGCACCCACCTAAGCTGAATTCTAAAATGGGCTCATCTGGATCTTGTAGATTTCCTGAATAAAAAGAAATATGAGAAAAAAGTTACCCTTAATCAACTTTTCAATGCTTTTAGATTTTATGGAAAAAAAAAACCCAACACATTTGTAATTGTTCCACAACATTTGTAAATCAAGCCATCACGATTTGTGTCGATTACTTCTCAATAAAATTAAGGGGGAGAAAAACTCCAACATTCTACTTGATTTTTCCATCTGAAACTGTTGTTAAGTGAGATGATTTCTTCATTTTGAAACATTTTATTTTGTGATTCCTGAGAAGTCTCAGGCTCCGAGTCCAAACCCCTTCCTTTTCAAGTCTGAATACCCACAAGAGGCAGGCTTTTCCTGTGGCCTGGACACTGGCCAGACAGCCCTGTGGACATTCCACGTTATCTCCTGGCGAATCGGCCCCCCAACCTGGAAATCTAACAGCAGACTGGTTCCGGTGGAGGCGGTTCCCAGGAAGCATGCTGACTTTCTCCTCCCTATTCTCGCTCAACCAGAGGATGCCACACCAGGGGCCCCCTCCAGGCTGAGGAAGCCACGGGGGCTCATACTGGCCATTCACCAGGTGCCCAGAACTGCTGGGTATGCTTGGCCCTCCCAGAACAGCTGTAGTGTGGGACTCACCAGGAGCTGGGTGCGGGACCCCTGAGGCTCACCTGCCAGAGAGAGGCCGAGCATGTCACCTGCCACATCAATGGTGGATGCCCGCTGCATCGCACGGGCCCTGGCGCCATGGCGAGGGCTGTGCTCTCTTGCTGTCATGCTGTCATTGGTGATGATGTGCTTCCTGCTCCTGGGTTCAGATGATGCCTGACTCCCTGGGAAGAGCTGTCACCCAGCCCTCGTCCCCTAAGGCAGCAGTGGTCCTGAGAAACAGAAGCAAACACTGGTAAGAAGCACAGAGACGGTGGCGGAGAGACACTGCGCAACCGTGGAAAGTCCAGGGTCTAACGTGAGCGGATGCAGCAAAGCCAGGGTTCCAGCAAGTCAGGGCGGAGTGGAGGTCTCTTTCCGTGCATTCCCCACCACGCTGTCACACACGTGCCAGCGCGGCATGCCCACGGGGTCCCGGACAGAAACCATGTTACCTCCAATAAAGATACGCCAAATTAAATGACAGTTTACAAAGAGTCATAAAATATGGCTTTTGAGATTTTCTTGTTGGTTTTATTATTATGCTTTTCCATTGGCAGGTCTCATACAATTTTATAAAATTTGAAACCACCTCACTACAACCTCTGTTAGAAGGACAGCAGCGTGGTGAGCACTGAAGAGACAAAGGCACATGTCCTCCAACCTCCCCCTTCCTCCCCAGAGCTACGGAAATTTCCTGTGCTGCTCAGTTCTGGGCTTGCTTTCCCACAGAACACATACATGTACGTGGTATCCTATGTCTCGCAGTGCTGTGCCATGGATATGAACATCCCTGTGAAAACAGCAACCGCAGGCTCCACCACAGGGCACAGAACTCGCATTCTGCTCTAAGTAGGTTGAGCAGCAAGACGTGAGTTTCGCAGTTTTTCAATCCTATACGCTGTAACTCCTACTGTCTCTAGCAGGAACCACACTTTAGAAGTTAAGATAATCAGAAAGGAGAACTCACTGGAACACACTTTCCAAGTGTGTCAATACCTCTGTACCTGAAGGGCCCATGCTCCCACTCTCGAGTGAATTCACCCAATAACTTACTGGGCATGTTTGTTCTTGGGTCAGTAGAGACACATGGCATTTCTTCATAGAAGCACGTCCAAATCCATCATCTAAAAATAAAAAAATTATAAATTTAACAAGCTGGTCAACAAACACGAGTTCTTGTGAACAGGTAAACACATACGTTATAATCCCGATACCTAGAAATATGGGGGAGCTGAAGGCTACTACATGTTCCTTTGAGCTCCATATACCAATCTAACCAAAGAGAAGAATCATCAGTTTACTAACCTCAAAAGGCATACAGTCAAAAATATGCAATACAAATGGGGAAGTACTTGCATTACTAATATCTGTTAGTTTGAAATGTACAAATTAATTTTTAAAAACTCACTAAAAATCCAGGTAGCAAAAGGTAAGCATTCATAAAACACATGGTAAACATTTTGAAAAGTGACCAAACTCATTCATAATAATTAAAGCCATGCTCACCATATCTATATTCCCTAAATTAGTACTCCAAAGTGGTCTGTTGTTCTATGGAGAATGTACTTTGTTGGAAGACCCCAGGGAAAAATCTACAGGGCTCTCCTATATGGCTCATGACATTTCAGAGTAGTACAAGCATTTTGAAAAGTAATCTGACATTATTTACCAACATTTGTCCACACACTCTCACCAATATTCCAGATATGCTTATTGCAGCATTACTTACAATGAAAATGCCGAAACCAATCTAACTGCCCAACTACAAGTGAATCCACTCTAACACCTATAAGACACACTGCTGTATGGCTGTTCACATGATCATAATAAAGCCAATAAACACAGGAAAAGTTCTTCAACCTCATTAGTCATCAGGAAAATACAAATCATAACGATGAGCTATATCTGCACACCTAGTAGAATAGCCAGAATGAAAAGACAGGCAATACCAAGTGCTGGGAGGATGTGGAATAATGGAACCAGATGAATAGCTAGAGGAGTGAAGGGCACAACCACAGTATCTACTCAAACTGAACACACGCCCAACCCATGATCTGGAATTGCTAGCAGAAATGCATACGTATGTTCCCCCTAAAAGGTGTAAAGAACATTTACAGCACTAACATTCATAACAGTCAAGAACCAGAAACAATTCAAATGTCTACCAACAGCAAAATGGACAAAATATCACACACGATTCCTAGAAACAATGCCAAGGGGAAGAGCCGACACACTGAGTGCATCCAGGCGACTGCATTCCCGTGAGGTCCAGGCACAGCCACATGAGGGCGATGTTACAGCCTGGGCAGTGGTCCCTCCGCAGGGCAAGTACTGACGGGACCGGAGAGGGTGTGCGGAGGCTTGGGGTGCCTTGTCTCCCAATCTGAGCTACATGAGTTAATTTACTGAGTGAAACTCATTGATCTGTACACCAATTATTTTTCTACCTCCATAAAAAGTTTAATTTTGTCAATGGTAACAATAAAGACAGCAGAGTATGAAAAAATGTTTATGTCAGTTATGCATCATGTGGGTTTTTAATGCACTGTTCCAACTGTGCCCTGGTTACAGCCCTTTCAAAGATGTGACACAGCAATAAAGGGCCAGCAGGAAGCCACATGGAGACACTGGCCAGGTCTGGGGCCTGGCCACGGGGAACTGCTTGCTTCCTTTCTTGGCTCACTGTCATCCCTTGCACCACTGAAAGCTGCATCCTGTGCAGGCCAGAGGCGAAGGTGGCACCCTAGCAATGAATCAGCCAGCGGAAGGCACTCTTCTCTCTAGAACCTTCTCCCAGCTTCTTAATGAAGGTACAGCCACCACCCCCCATTCAGCTGGAACAGCAGAGACATGCCACCTAACAGGCAGGCTACATCTGTATCCTGACACTCAATAGCCCAAAGAAGGCCCCATGCCCGCTTCCCTCCTCCCCCTGCAGGGTCCCTGACCACTCCATCCATCTGCCCCTCCCTCTAGGAGCAGGGTTAGTATTGTAGGTGTTATGAGATTCTGGGGATAGAAATGCTTAAAGGGGAACACCTACAGACTAATTTTATACTTGACAGAGTTCACAGATCATAGAAGATTTTGTGGTTATTTTGGTACATTTAATTAGAATCTGCAATTTAAGTCATCGAGACCCAGAATATAAAGCTAATTTGCACAGCTGAACTCGATCCCCTTGTATTAGTCTCATTAATTTCAGGTAATTCACCAAGGATTCCTATGTCCCCTCCGTCCTCATTTTTTCCTCATTTGAAGACCGAAGCTCATCAGAAGCAAAACTACACTAAAAATAAAGAGGGCAGAGGGTGTGGGGAGCTGTAGAGTACGGGGATGGGGAAGCAAGGCAAGAAGAAGGAAGGAAGCACTCAGGAAACTGACAGGCTCCTCCTCACTCTGTGAGGGATACGTGGTCCCTTTGGACAAGAGGACACAGGCCACCAAGCGAACAGCAAGCCCAAAAACATGATACCCATGCGGGGGCAGGGAGATATGGCAGAGGGGCATCAGCAAGGCAGGGAGGGATGTTATGACTCACACAGGCTCAGTGAGGGCGGGCGATGACTGTCGGAGGCTTCTCCTGAGAATAAGAAACCTCAGGCCAGGAAGGAGTTCTGGAGACATCAGTAACCTCTGGGAAGGACTAACCACAGAGTCCCACTTTTATCATCATGCACACTGGGGTGCTCCTGAAAACAATCTTAAAAAGGAGATGTGCAGATGAGGGCACAGAAGTCCGGACTGGGTAGCTGACTTTCTCAAGGTCACATGAAAGTACGGGATGAACCATGAGCACAACCCACAGCAAAAAGCCCACGTGCAGCCGGGGCCAGGCTCCCTGTCCTTTGTAGCCTAGCCTCCCCCGTTGCTGTCATATGGGAGCCAACAGGCTCACAGCAAACCTTCCCTGGGCCTCCGCTATCCTCACCAGGGCAGCGTGACAGAGAAAGTTGGCAGAGAAAGGCTGAGTGAGTCACATCATGGATCAGGAAGCCCCACGGATGAGGCTACTTCTCAGAGGAATCAGAAAGAGGAAGAGTTTTCTCTAAAACCCCTCAACCCAAGACAGCTACAATCACTCAGCGATGAGGCATCGCACTGCTCCCTGGCACCAAACACCACTGCCAGCAGGGCCTGAGAAAGACAGCTGCGGCCCCCGCATGAAGCCCTTCCTGCACACAGACCCAGAGCCCACAGCCGTTCTTCCTGGAGGTGCCCCGGTATGGCCGACGGTTCATCCCTTCTTTGTGTGACCAGGATGACCAGCTGGGACCCTGTGTGTTAGGAATGCCACACGTAACCCCTTGTTTCTCCCATACCTTCCTGGTGCAAAGACCAGGTTTTCTGACAAACACCAGTAAACAAACTGTCAACATCTGCAGCAACTGTATTTGCTCACCAGCATCTGGCTTTTTTCTGCTTTCCAGACACCCGACAGATAACTCTCCAGACCCTTCCCTCCACTGCAGGAAAGAGCCTGCACTGAGGCCTGCTTCCTCCTTCCCTTCAAAGCCACGAGCCAGCTCCCTGCTGCTTCCTGCTCCCTGTGGCCACACAAGGCCTCAGTGAGGACAGAGACTCACTGAACAGAGCTCGACTAAGAGAACACTGCCTAACAGCGAGCACACTGCAGCATCAGTCCATCCTGCTAAGGTTTCACAGCAGGACTCACAGGCCTTAGGAAGTCACGCCCAGGACACAAGAGGTGTGCTGTAGTTGGTGCACAGTCTCACTGGCAGGCACAAGCAACCTGCCCGGGGTCCCTGTGGGCCTGCGTGCAGCAGGCACTCACTCCTGCTTCCCATTTCCTGAGCCTGTGCTCTGCCAGTGACACTGAACAGGCACCCCTGGAGATGGTTTACCACCCAATTTAATTAAGCAATTGGTCTCACTGGTTTCATGAGGATGGTAGCTGATATAATATAATGCCTTAACCCAGATTCAAATGCACATCTGGAACTCCAAGGGCAGAGTCAGTAGCCTTGGCTGGGCCACAGGGGTCGGTCTAAAAAGCCAGGCAGGCCATGTGCTCCTGAGTAGGACAAGCCCACACTGTTCCAGCTTCTCCCCAGAACCTTGGTTTTCCCATTCCAGTCATTGGTAATTCCATCTTTCCACCTGCTCCAGCCAAGAAACAAGATCAGTACTGCCTGCTGGCCTCCTCTTCCTCTCACACCCCACACCCAGCATTTTGTTGGCTCTGTCTTTCCAGAGACCCAGACTTCGGCCCACCTCAGTACTCCAGCCCCACCTGCCAGTCTTCTGACCAGTCCCCCCACAGCTCCTAGTCTGTCTGCACACAGCACTGGCTCCGGCCCTGGCCTCCCTGCTGCCAAGATCTCCCTAGCCAGCAACCCTCCTCAAGTTCATCCAGAAGGCAGCTCCCTCACCTACAAGGGGGGACCCAAAACCAAATGGAATTATCTTCTGGAGGGTAAGCCCCCTTGTAGTACAGGCTTCCCCCACTACGTGAGTGTTCTAGGAACCCATCTGTATCAGTGTACCAGATGGCACTGCTGTGAGAGGCTGCGTTTGGCTTCAGTGAATTTTTTGAAGACTCTTTCAACACATTTGTCCATTTTGAGATGGGTGATTTAAGGGCACACCTGCCCATACTGCGCTGAGTGTTCAGCAGTTTCTGAGCAAAAATAGCATGACCCCCATACCACCCCCATCACCAAATCTAGCCCCCAGTGACTTTTTTCTCCCAGATGAAAGAAGTCCTCAGAGGGAAACATTTTGCTGATGTGGAAGGGGTGAAACAAATAGTGGCTGAAGTACTAAAAGGCATCAAAATCAACAAGTTCAAAAACTGTTTTGAGCAGTGGAAAACAATGTCCCAATAGGTGTATTGCATCAAATGGACAGTATTTTGAAGGTGACTGAAGTTTAAATATGTAAGAATAAATACACAATTTTTATAAATAAATTCCAGGGTTTTGGAGTCCCGCCATATATGTCCTTCCCAAAATCAGCTTCTCCAGAACATCTTCATGACAGTTCGTTTGAAACTGCAGTTGGGCCCCTGGTGTTTCAACCACAAACCATGAGCCTTTTGGGGATTTTCTACAGGAACCAGTTTGAAAATAAGTCACCCTTAAAAAGTAGTTAAAAGTGTCAC